TCTAGAGTCATTTATTCACATATGAGTCATTTCATGTCAACTGACCTAGTGCCTGTTCATGGATTTCCATGAAAGGTCCAAGAAAGAAAATTAAAATACACACTAAGATTAATATTTCACTTTAAACCTGCTGGTTTGATTTTAATAAATTCTCTGAACAGGTTAATTTATTGGAGGACATACACTTTTGTGACAGATGGTGTGATATTTTATCTCTGAAGTTAGATCATTCAGTCAGCTTTCCAAATTATACATGATTATGGATGTGTTGCCATTTTGAATTGTCTTTTGTGACGTGACAAAGCCGAAGCACGTAAATATATCCGCCTATTCAGCCTACAGCACTTTAACTCTGCCCACTCACACTTAAGTAATAAGGGGTATTTCAGCCCGGACTGCTTCTCACTGAGGCACAATACAGAGTAGGCAATCACAAGGGAGGTTATTCAGATACATTCGATGGCCATAAGTATGTGGACACCCCTCATAATTTTTGAGTTTGGGTGTTTCAGACACACCCATTGCTAACGGGTGTATAAAATCAAGCACAAAGCCATGTGATCTCCATAGACTAACAATGGCAGCAGAATGGGTGGTACTGAAGAGCTCAGTGCCTTTAAAGGTAGATCTGCCCCCGTCAACTGTAAGTGCTGTTACTGTGAATGGAAGTGTATAGGAGCAACAACAGCTCAGTCAGGAAGTGGTAGACCACTCAAACTCCCAAGTGCTGACACACAATGCACATAAAAAGTGCCTGTGCTCTTGCGTCACGCTGTACTAAGTTGCAACCAGCATCAAGAAGCAAAATCAGAACAAAAACTGCATGTTGCAAGCTCCATTAAATGGATTTCCATGGCCGAGCAGCTGTACACAAGCCTAAGATCACCATACGCAATGCCAAGTGTCAGCTGGAGTGGTGTAAAGCACACTGCCACTGGACTCTGGAGCAATGGAAATACCAGAATGCATAGTGTCAACGGTAAAGTTTGGTGGAGGAGGGATAATGGTCTGGGGCTGTTTTTCAGGGTTTGTGCTAGCCCCCTTAGGTCCAGTGAAAGGTAATGTTAATGCTACAGTATACAAAAATAGTTTAGACAATTACGTGCTTCCAACATTGTGGCAGTAGTTTGGGGAAGGCCCCCAACTGTCCCAGCATGACAGTGCTCCTGTGCACAAAGTGAGGTCTATAAAGACATGGAGGAACTCCAGTGGCCTACACAGAGCCCTGACCTCAGCCCCAGTCAGCACCTTTAGGATGAATTGGAATTTCAACTGCAAACCAGGCCTTCTCATCTAACATCAGTGACTGACCTCACAAATGCTCTTTTGACTGAATGGGCACAAATTCCCACAGACACACTCCAAAATCTTGTGGAAAGCTTCCCAGAAGAGTGGAGGCTGTTGTAGCTGCAGAAGGGAGGGCCAATACCATATTAATGTTCATGGTTTTGGAATGGGATATCTAACAAGCTCATACAGGTGTTATGGTCAGGTGTCCACCTACTTTTGGCCATGAAGTGTCAGTCTTAAAGGCTCAGTAACAAACCAGCCTATTTAATTCTAAAGGATACATTCTTCATATTTCTAAGGTAATTACTTGTGTTAATTATGCTTTCATCAGTCTTGTTTTAGAATTGAATAGACTTTATTTGTCCCCAGGAGGCAATTTATAATGTAAACATCTACAAAAAAAACAGGGTCAAACATTTTGCTTAAAAAATAAGCCAAAGAAAAAGTAGTGAGCACATAGCTCAATGGGAATGGTCACTGATCAACCTGATGACACACCGTCAGACAGGCAAACCTCTGGGGCAGCAATAATGGTGACCGAGGGGCAACAGCTCAAAGGTGGAATGGAGAACTTGAGAGGGGTCATTAAAGCTACACTACTTAGGTTTTGGGGATTTGGAGACCTCTCTGGTGGAAATGTGTAGGGGCATGCAACTCATGGAAGAACTATTTTTAACTTTGGTTGTGCTTTGCACCCCTTCCCCAAGGAGATGAACCTGGCCATTATGAGCAGGTTTAAAGAATATTCAAAGAGAAGGACATGAAGGATGTGTTCTCAAAGATGTGAGTGAATTATCCACTATTGTCATTGTTTTATCTTCATGAGTATGATGCTGATTTTGCATTTTAACCCTAAACATCAAGTCAGACCTTCTTTTTGATCCTGTGTCTGTAATGTAAAGATGCTTGATGCTATGGCTTGGTTAAAAAAACTCCTGTGAAATCTGACCCAACACTTCAGACTTTTAAATGATTATTTCAGGCTTTACAGAACGACTTGCTGCAGTACACACACCATCTTTTAGAGTGTTTTTCTTCTTTGACCCAGTAATACTACTTTCAATATGAACAAACAAATCTTACACAATGCAACTTTAATAATAGGATGTTCCTTGTTTAGTGTCATTTATGTAATACAGAGTGGAAAACCAATCATTTTGAAGCATTTTTGGAAGTGGTTTTAAGCAAATAAAGCAAAATGAATGCTGGCATTTCTTTTTTATTTCGGTATCGAAAATAATGTTTTGGTAAAAACCACAGTGAATATTGTATTGTGAAACTGTTACTCCCCTACTGTTTATTAATATTTTCCTTATAATACAGTCCCAGAGTCATAATACAGGCCCAGAATCTTGCGAGCAGATGTTTGGGCTTGCAGAGTAAGGAGCTGGTTTATGATTCATTGTGTGCCATTTCTGAAGAACATTAATATCAAATGTGTAATTGGATTAGTTCAGTCAGGTTCTCACTGGTAAAATGAAAACACACTTTGAGACAAACACAGTAAAACTTTACACGGTACAGCGACTGTTCCTTTGAATGCTGATACACAAACCATAGAGGTGACAAACTTGTTTTGACGTGAACCTGCTGGGCCGAAGCTCAGACAGTAAAACATGGTTTAAAAAGGACAGCCTTTGTTTGCAGGAAACGTTTGGGAACAGAGAAATCAGCCAGCTGCTTTACAGGTGGAACAGTTTGTCCTGTTCTGCCAGAACATCCTCAGGCCAGTGGAATGACCTCCCTAAAAAAAAATCCTAAATGTAATCAGCTGAATTTATCTAAAGTACTGTGGTCGAGTCTCAATTCTTTCTTAGAAGTGGTCATAGACTTTTTTCTATATCCTTAGCCTCTGGGTGATGCACTGGTTTCAGTTAAATATACTACAAAAACTTTCTTATAAACAGCACATTTCCCCACAAAAAAGCTTAAAACCCTCATTATGAATAAAATGTTGATTCATGTCAGTTTCCCAGAATCAGTTGGCAGACCTGGATATAATTTAATGATTATGTTGTGGCCACCTTTTCATTCCAGTCATCATGGACGCAGGAATTGGGGATGCTGTGGGGGCTGCTGTGGGGGCTGCTGGGCTAGCTGAGCAATATCCGCTCGATGATGGTGGTGGTGGTGGGGTGAAACAATGTTATTAGTTAATATTATTTTTCACCGCCCACTGCACAGTGATGTGAATGAAGAGACGGGCAAAAGACATTACAGTTCAAATGCAAGCTTTCGATATTAGATGCCAACTTAAATATGACTTCTGCAAATTTAATGCATAATTTTTATTTATTTGCCGAGCTCAACATATTGGAATAAAGTATAAAACGTGTCATAAATTTTGCACTGGCCATATTTTGGTTTTATGTCTTTTCCCAACATGTTAAATTCAGCAAATAAACAGTTGTTGTGTATTAAAATGTGCAGAACTGTGTTCTCTGTAAAGGATGTGTAACTATTTTCACTTAGAAAATCAATGAAACATGTAATTTGACCAGGTTTGCCCAAACTTTTGGTTAAAAAATTGTTTAGCAAGACCATATCAACCACCTGGGATACCATAGCAATGGCCTAGAAAGACCTTAGCAACCACCTGGGATACCACAGCAATGGCCTAGCAAAACCTTAGCAACCACCTGGGATACCATAGCAATGGCCTAGCAAGACCTTAGCAACTACCTGGGATACCATGGCAATGGCCTAGCAAGACCTTAGCAACTACTTGGTATACCATAGCAATGGCCTAGCAAGACCTTAGTAATCGCCTGGGATACCACAGCAATGGCCTAGCGAGACCTTAGCAACTACTTGGTATACCATAGCAATGGCCTAGCAAGACCTTAGCAACCACCTGGGATACCACAGCAATGGCCTAGCAAGACCTTAGCAACTACCTGGGATACCATAGCAATGGCCTAGCAAGACCTTAGCAACTACCTGGGATACCACAGCAATGGCCTAGCAAGACCTTAGCAACTACATTGGATACCATAGCAATGGCCTAGCAAGACTTTAGCAGCAACCCAGGATAGCACAGCAATGACCTAAAACACCTTAGCAACCTCCTAACAACCAAAACAACAAACTGGAATAGCACAGCAACCTCGTAGCAAGTCCCTGGAATTACAATATAGATCCAAATAAGCTATCAAAATCAACCAGCAGTGTTCTGCAACTGTTTGAGCTTTTGAAGCAGTATTAACTTTTCTGTTCACAAACTTTCGTGTCTTAGTTTTTTTAAGAGTTTACTCTTTTGCCTCATTGCAGTTAAAGAACTGGAAAGGAGAAAATAAAAAAAATCAAGGAGGGGAAAGTTGAAAAATATAGAGGTATGAAGTCTTTGACTGTCATCTTTACCGTTCCCACCCTGCTGTGTTTGGGGTGCGACAGCCGATCAGTAACAACAGTAATAGCTTCCATGTGGTACCCTTACAGCAGCCTCTTTGTTAGCTGCCATTACTGCAGGATTAAAGGGGATGAATCAATGGAAACAAAGGCCATGCTGACATTTGTCTAATCAAATAACAGTTACACAGAGCAAACGCTCATATCAGGCCGTTCCCACGCAAGGGAAATGTTTGTGGCATTGACAAAGAGTCTGGGCTTCATTTTTGTGGTTAGATTAACTCCTTAGAGGCCTCTGGCTTTTCACTTGTCTACTAGCTTGTAATGCTATCTCCAAACAGATTCAATTTCAGAGACAAGGCTTACAAACTCAATTTTATTACATATGCATTTCACCACCTGACATTGTTCAAAATTCTTTCAATACAAGTGATGAAAGTGAGACTTTACATCCTTACAGATATACATAATAATGAATGTCAAGACACAGTACTGCACAAAGCAATGTTCAGCATTAACTCATACTTCAATGAGGTAAAGATGAACAAATAAAACAAAGGCAAATCCAGATGATGAAAAAGTACATTTTGGATTTTGGTGGGTGTGCATGGCCTTGTGTTAAGGGTTCTGTCTCAGAAATTTAGATTAACTCAAGGACTGCACACTGCCAGTGAGTACTTAAGGCATGCTTACTATGTCAAAATATATCAAAATATTCTAACAAAGTTATTCGTACTCAGTAATAGTCAAATTGCGAGAGCAATAATAAATTACACATGGATAACAGAAAAAGGCACATGACAAAATGATTACATGGAAAAATTTAAAGATCCATTTGCTTCAAAAGGCAGGAGTGAAAAAATAAAGAAAACCACAGTGAAATTAGTAAAAAATGGAATGATTCAACCATAACATTTAGATCATTATGATGAATGAGGCACACTAAAGAAATTAAAAGCTTATGTGAAAGGAAACCCTGACTGTTAAGGCATGTACAGTCGTACGCAAAAGTTTGATTTTTTGAGTGAAAATACGTTAATACATCCTCTACAGAGGACACCCTTCACACAATCACTGTTTATTTGCTGAATTTAACATTCTCTGTAGAGGATCTGTTAACTTATTTTCACTTAGAAAATCAACAAAACATTTTTTTTTTTTTTATTTGACCAGAGGTGTTCAAACTTTTACATACAGCTGTAAGCCTCAGTGTGGTGTGCATATACAATACTATTAGAATATGTTGTACAAACCAAATACTTTATTATTAAAAATAGACAAAATCCTTCAAATAGGTGGTCACCAGTTTTGTTTTTAAATTTTTGCCCTCTGTCTTGTTCACTAAGTGAGGAACAGCCGGCTAAATATCTAATTTAAGGCAAATGTCAGTCAGCCTTTCCAGCTTTAGCTGGAACATAACATTCTCCAAGAGGAATTGTTTTTGGATTATTTAGTTTTCAGCAGAATTGAGTCCAGTGCAACCAAATGACATCACAATGTCAACCTACTAGTAAAGGGATTTGCCTATTTGTCATGTTTTTATAATAAACAAAACATTTCCATTTGGTTTGAACATCATATTTTAAAAAGCATACAAGTTGTAACAGTCAGGGGTCCCTTAAATGTTTCCAGTGTTATATTAGTGTGAATGCTAAGAACCTTGAAATGATGACACGAGTTAAACTGGCCAACTCAATCTGGTCCTCCTCACAGCTGAAGAGACTGGTCAGTGCTGCAACATTAAGATTGGTAGAGGATATAAAGGAGGTTGGTGCATATTTCTGCTGATTTGGCATATTTTCTGCACTTGTGGACACTAACACTGTAAAGTTTTATCTGTGGACCAATTCATGGACCAAATCTGTTAAAAATGTGTCAAACTCTTACTATAATGGCCTAATAGCTACTGTGAAACATTGAAGAGACGGTTTCATCAGTATCTCTACTGTCAAATGGAAACAGGAGCTTCAGCTTGTATATATAAACATCTGCCTGTTTCTAACGTATAACGGATACAGCTTATTAATGCGTTTGTCTATCAACATTATAAAATATCTTTTCAGCAGGCGTAAGAATGTAATTAAAGGAATACTCCAGAGATTTTCATCCTTTAGCAGAAAGTATCATACAGTGAATCACCAAGGAGAATAATTTTGACTTGCTAAATAAAATAACAGAAAACCTGTTATGTAAAAACACACTTATATTAGAAGTCAATGGGCAGATGCTGAACCTTCCAAGTGTGAAGTCAGTGGGATTTCTGTTCTTTACCAAGTACAGGGAACTTATTGCTCATGTTAAAGGAATGTTTTGCCAAAAAATCTAATTTACACAATTTTCCACTTAACCCAGATGTAGGCTATAAGCCAAGACATACGGACGTTTGTGTCAAATTATTACCTCTTTAGTTTAGCGCTGGAGCTACGAGGCTAACATTGCTAACAAACACTAGAAACCAATAGTCACCCAAATCTTTTCCGTAAACACATCCTCAAAGCTTCTCTCAGCCCACTCAAGCTGCATTCTGGTCTTTATTAGGGTCGCACAGACTTGATGTGGTTTAGAGCAATGGTCTTCAAAGAAGTACTAAGTGCTCACAAGATGGTCCACAACTTTGCCCGATCCCAAATCCCAACACATAGAGAGACAGCAAAAATATGGATTTGAGAGCCACTGGTTTAAGACTCTTAGTAAAACTTACTGTGAGCTATAAAAAAAGAACACAACTTCACTGAGTAGATAAATGCAGCAAGCAGCCTTTTAAGACAGCAGGTGTTGTGCCAAATTCTGACACCTCTTTGCAAGCACACAGACAGACATACAGATTGCAGATTATATTTGTGATTTGTTGTTTCTATTCATAAATAACTGTTAATCTTGAATTTTCTAACTTAAGATATTTGTTTAGAAATGAAAACAACAGAAATCGCAAGTGTCTAGAGTCCATATGTCGTGAAACTTATGCGGGGAGTCTGAAATCAGCATGTTATGTAAAATGCCTGCCTGCAGCATTCAGCTACACAGTAATGTGTTGATAATTTTAAAAGTTCACAAGAAGTCACAGTGTGTCCTAAACCACATTGACAAGTCTGTGCTTAATAAAAGACCTTGACACTGCTTGAAAGAAGTTTTGGGGATGTACTCAAGGAAATGATTTGGGTGACTACTGACTTCTACTGTTTGTTAGCAATGTTAGCTTTGTAGCTCCAGTGCTAAACTACATCTGGGCAAATGGAAAATTATATAAATTTGCATGGTACATATGCATCAGAGATTAAGTTGAAAAACTACAAAGTATTCCTTTAAGGTTGACAGCTGCAAAGCAAACAGCATAAAAACAATTTGTTAGTGAAAGGGTTATAATGCATCACCGGAAAGTGGCAAATTTGCATTGCTGCATTGAGCACAATATGTAGATACAGTATTACAGACAATAATATTCTATATAATAAATACAGATACAGCTCAAATGACCAAATGACTAATTGAGCACGCTGACTGAAAGCTTTTAAAATTGCATCAGTTCAGTTATTAAATAAGATCCAAGCCTCACTTTTTCCAGATGGTTCTCTTTTGATAAATGCTGTTGCCTAAGCTGACTGTATTTTATACTCCTTTTGCAGCTGAAGTGTGAAATGACAATTACAGTGAATGCCTTTTTATACCTTTTCATCAGCCCTTTATGAGACATTTGGTGTCCTAATTTTTTGTCCCTTTCAAGACAGTGTACCAAAACAGACAACACAAATCTATTCCCATGTTTTGAATTCTATACTGGACTAAAAAATATAAATACATTACAGCTGAATGAACGAAGCACTGCAGTTGTAGTGATGTCCACTTGAGGAGGCTGCTTCAAGTGCCATTCAGATATGACCATAAATAAATAGGCAATAGAAGATACCGGTGTTTCTAGGGGTGGGGGTGTCAGGCAGGGGTTGAGTTTTTCTCAGTAGCCAGAGATGAAGGTTTGGGTTCAGGTCTATGGGGTCTGCTGGGTCTGTGTTGGGGACTACTGCGGAGGTTATCGTCCATCTGTCGGAAAAACACATAAAGCAGTCAGCTAAAAACACAAAGACTAGCATTTACAAAAATGTAAATAGGAAATGAGGACAAGTTATTCATTAGTTTAAAGTGATAATTTGACATTTTCCCCTTACCCAAATCTAGTCAATCAACTAAGACGTGTTTGGTGTCTGAATTTTGCTGCTTTTGTTTTGCTCTGGGGCTGAGAGGCTAGCAAGTAACAGAAGCATAAATTTCACAGATTTAGGCAATCTTCAAGCCTAAATCATTGAGTTATGTCATAGTTATCTCAAAGAGGCTGCTTGCATTAATGTGTTTCGTGTCCAGATATATGCTGACTGGGTTCCTTTTACACTTTTCACTAAAATGTGTCCCCATTGTGATCAGTATTTACTTTTCCATTTAAAAAGCAAGTCAATGTATATGTTGTTTGCATTTTACTTCGCTGTCTAAACCACATCAGCAAGTCTGACTGACCTGAATGAAGATCTGGATGAAGTTTTTTCTGGATGAAGAGAAACGTTTTGTGAATGTATTTACAGAAAAGATTTGGGTGACTACTGAGTTCTAGAGTAGCTCCAGCACTAAACTAAATAAGCTGAACCTTGACTTTAATCAGCTCTACGGTACAGATGTGTTGAATGATCAATGAAAAATCTGATTGTAATCTGATCACATTGCATCCTTGGTGCGTTTACGCCTGGCTTTTCAGGCAGTCAAGTAAAATCCAAATGGGATCTGGTCACTGAAAACAAATACAGACCAAATTCAGGCTGTTTTAGCTGTGCCACTTGCACCATGCTTCCATTGCTTGTCAGCCACTGTAGCCTCGTAGCTTCAGGCTAAACTAAACAAGCAAACTCGAGACACGAAATATGTTTTGGCTCATCAACTATACTTGGGGAAAGTGTACTAATTTGATTTATAGTCAAGATATCACTTTAATTTATAGTAATTACCTTTGTTTCTAGATAGTATGTTACTATTACTATGTTATAAATGATCACAAGGAAAATATGAGCAGATTAAGGCAGGACCTTTTCAATAAGGTTGGACTCTTTGTTAACAAGCTGCGTCAGTTTCTGGAGGTTTGCATCGACTGCATCCTGGCTAGTGGGAGAAGAGCCTAGCGAGAGGATGGAAAGAGAATCAGAAGAGGACAGCAGGCCAAAGATGTCAAAAAGCAACAGGAGGCCTCCATCATTTGGAAGAAGTGTTAGTGCAGAGAATTCCAACACAGAGACACAGCAGGTCAACCAAAATAATCCCACAGTCAAGGACAAAGCTTTGATTAGACTACCACATGCTTTTAGCATCTGCCATGGCTAACACTTTTAGCGTTAAAGGAAACTGACTCAGTCATGATTTATGACAAGCAGATGAGAGTGTTTGGAGTCTATTTGTTAGAAAAATGAAAGGAATCAAAAACAAATGGTCAAGATGGATCAGGCGCTTTCAATACAAAGAACAAGTGACCCCTTACACCAAACACAGAAACAAACAAAACACTAATTTATGAAAGCCATGCTCATGTTATACATATAAACAGTTTTGAAAGTGTGGATTTAACTAATTGGAGTTGGTTGTCTTACCAGAGCCAGCCTCATCAAAGTAGTTTTTCAGGACGGTACTGCAGAACTGGCAGAGGTTATGAAGCTGTTTCAGATGCTGCTGGAGCTGACCGCTGGGCAGACTGGCTTTATGGAGAGGAGCTAGGTAGCCAAAAACAAAGGCATCCAGACTTGTAGGCCTACATACATAAAATATAAGCATAACGGGCCAGTTCAGCAGGTCACTTTGTGAAGTATTCCTGTTTCAATAATCACAGCATATGGTCACTAAGGCATTAATGCCAAGACAAAACTAACTTATAAACATGCATAATGTCATTCATTTAATACAGTTAGCTATCAGAAATTCTAAGAAAAAAAAAAAACAATAAGGCTCTGAGACTTTTTCAGGGAATAAAAATAGTTAGAGATGGCACAAAGTGATTTGATACAAGAGAAAATTTCGGATCAGACAATTTAATCTGGGACAGATTCACAAAAACTTTCCTAAAAAAACAAAATTTTCTGATGGATCATAAGGCAAACACTAAGACGTTCATTGGAATGTTCTTAAACAAACGAGAAAAGAAAAAAAAATATATATATATATGGCAGCAGGGACACCAGACCAGACCTATTAACAGTAAAAGTTTGTTTTCTCAAAGATGGTAAAAATCTGTAAAATTACTGTGATTTAGTTTCTTAGAAATACTGTATAGAACTACTAGTTCAATTAATTATTTTGACATACAGTATTTCATCATAATAATAACAATAAAATGATTAAAATAAACACAAATGTCTGTGAAATAAAAAGGTATAAAGGTGATAATTTGCTTTTGTGAATTTACATTCTATTTCTGTACATTAACAACAGCAGTGTTAAATTACTGTGTTTGACCTTTTTTTTAAATAGATTTGACCATTAAATTTTACAGTACTTTAACAGTGAAAATATTGATTTTTTTTTATTTTTTGTAAACAGTGTGTATTATATTAGGAACATATTTCTGATTATTCCTGTCCCTGAAAGGGGGTGGTGGTGTGGTCAGATATTAGCCCAAGTTTAAAATAAAAGTAAAAAAAAAAAACTAAAGTTTAGACCACATACAAAGAAAGTTACAAAAGTTACAAAAAAAGTTTTTTGAAGAATAACAAAAAGTCTCTCTCAGGACTTGAAAATCTGGAATTGTGTAAGAAATGCGCTCAAATATGACAGAATTGCTTTATATAGTGCAACATAAAGAATAAATGCAAAAAATACTAAACTAGGTTTAACTGAAGCTTTATGTGGTCTAACAGTAACAAAGGATATTAGACCAGTTTAAGCTTTAAACTTAAATACGATATTTTAGATGGTGACTTTAGATGTCCGAGTTCTTCAAATATTTTACAATTTTTAAAGTTTAGGATCGATTAGAAAAACAAAGTAGCCGATACTCTGGTCTTCAGTTTTTGGTATCAGAAAAAGTAGTGCCACCTCTAAAAATAACATTCCCAAGAAATAACACTGTCATCTTGCTCAGATTACTGAAAGCCCAGTTATGTATCTGAATCATTTCTTTCACTGACGTGATGAGGATATTCACATTTAAACAGCAGAGCTGCTGATGGATGAAGATGACTAATCACAGCTGAACTCACGTGTTTCCAAAGAAGTAGTGTGAGGTCCCCAGTCTGTGAGAGAGCAGATTCAGACACTCTTTGGCTTCACTGTAGATCTGTACAAACAATTCCAGCACTGAATTACTGACAATCAAAGACAATTAACTTCTAAAATAAACTGACTCCTGGACTTGTGTCAAAATGAGTCCTTTGGCTACATTATTAAATGACCCTTTAAGATTACTGGCAGGTTTCTAGTCTATTATTGAAACGCACTTTTGCTGCGCTGAGCTCAGTAGCTCTGGTCCTCTAGGTGATAAACTCTTTTCCATCTGCTTCTCTGAAACCGCAGACAGCGTTCAGACAGGCCCGGAGACTGTTTAAATCAGCCTGCCACTACAGCACAGCGCTGCAGATTAAATCCAGCGTCACATATTAAATGAAGTACATTCACAATACTTGGTTTGCAAGCTGAATTGACTTATTTCTGTCTTTTTTCCATTATCTAATAAGGATTTAGTCTGAGCAACCCTGTAAGCATTAACTAACAAGAACACAAAGTGTTAATAATGCAGAACACTAGTCTTCCACTGTACCCCAGTACTTTTTCACCTTTTGCCTTTAGTCATCCTCACAAACTAAATACCTTTCTATGCAAACAGGGTAACTGGTGCATGGTACCATGGTAGCATGAAATTTAGCAGCTCACAGGGGTGTACAATCGAAAACAATGTATTATTCAAAAACAGCCATCTTTTGGTCATTGTGCTTGAGTATCAGAAGCTGCCCCTTCAGATGAGCTAAAGAGTTGATGCTAACACTAAGTGTTGTGGTAGATGGTAAGGAATAGTCTTTTATGCAAACTTTTTTTCTACTCAGGGGACAATATGTCAACATGTTACCTTATCAGAGAAATATATTTTTAGTGTATTTATATTCCAAGATGCAACTAAACTTTGCAGCTGTGAAACTGTGATCTTTGGGCTTCTCTTTACCTCTCTTACCATTCTCCTCACTGTGCGTGGGGGCAATATGAGGATACGTCTGGCAAACTCTACTTTCTGGCAAAATTTCAACTGCCTCATGCTTTTAGAACTTCTTTACTATGGCCTTGATTGTGCTTACCAGTAATTTCAATTGCCGGTAAGCACAATTTTTGAAAGCCCAACATTTTTTTCCAATTTTCAACTTTTTTTCCCTCATTTGATTTCAGAGTTCTTGGATTTACCCATGTTGATTAATGACATTGTGATTTTACCTGAGTGTTACCTCATATTTATACCCCAGTGAAACAGGAAATGGTCATACACAACAATAAAGATCCTAGATGCTAAAAGCAAGAAACACTCAACAACACACACAGTCAATTGAATTTATATAGTATTCCTCAAGGGTGTCAATAATTTTGACACTTAGGTTTTTGACATGAACTATAACGATGACACAACAACACTTTTGCAGGAATTATTTTTAGTTAGTGAATAGTTAGCAATGTCTTTAAACATCTGTGGAAAAACAGAATCATTGAAAGTATTACCTACATTTGATCAATGTTTTTGCTCACTTTCTGAAGGGGTGCCTACATTTCTGGAGTTGACTGTGTGTGTGCGTATTAGTAGTAGTATGAATTATACCAATACAAATATTTAATCTATGTATTTTTTTCTACACCCTTGAAAGTTAGTAAGTGGGATCCTTCTTAACCTTAAAAAGACAGTTTGCTACTAAAAAGCTTCTTTTTCTTTTATTTTTCTGATGTTTCTATATTTAGTTACAAAAGTTTACATGTCCCATTTAAATTAGATTTTTTTAGCAGTGAAAATAAGTACACATCCTCTGCAAAGAACACACTTTTGCACACTTTAACGCACAATTACTGTTTATTTGCTTAATTTACTGTAAACATTGTATGTTTTATTTTTGTCCAATACTAAACTGGTTTAACAAATTTCATATTTAAGTGTGTTCTCTGTAGAGGATTTCATTTTCACTTAGAAAATAAACAAATATTTGTAATGTAAAATGTAGTTTGAGCAGGGGTGTTCAAACTTTGGCATAAGACTGTACACAGCCCATTTATAGTTTTGGACTTACTACAGCATCCACAATATAGTCAGGAGAGGGCAAAAATGGTCTTTTATTTCAGTGTAAGTTAATGTTAATAGATTTTATTCCAAGCAGTTTTGGAGTGTTTCTGGTGGTCCATTCAGCATGATATTTTCACACACTATAAAGGATAACTGCTGTGCTCAAATGATGTAGAAAAGTAAAAATCGAAAAAAATGGAGATACATGTTTCTCTTTGGACAGCGACGATGAGAGGATTTAACCTATATTGATATTCACTTTGTATATCCAACACCTCTTTGAAGTAGCACAAAAAAATTGTTGCTTCAAAGAAATAAAAATAATGGCAGAATGTTTGTGAGTATGTGAGTACCTTTCCTTCTACTTCTGTAATGGAATGTAGAGGCGCTTCTGCTTTGGTCAGAAGGATCCTAGAAAGGGCCAGGCTGGCCTGTCGGGCTGGAACAAAGAAGTTGAGAGGGAACGGAGAGCGTGAAGCAAACCACGGCTTCGTCAGGCTGACATAGTTCTCTGCGTCCACCCAGAACGTGTGGAGCTGGAAACACAAACTCTTTAAGGTCCACAGATCACAGACAAGAGTGACAAGCAAATCTTTGAGCATGAAGTGTGGATGCACCAACCAAAGCAGGCCGCAGTTTCTCCTCCAGCAGCGCAATATAGGCCATGGTGTCGGCCCCTTGCTTGGCTGACAGCTCGTAGTCTGCATTGAATCTCTGTTTGGTGAATGGAGAAAGTGCCAGTTAACTCTGCAGAACAAACACCTTTGAAATATGACACAAAATTTCTTGCTTCTTGAGGTTACATATAAACAAAATTATAAACAAAACAGGGAGTGGATTCTGATCAAATTCAGACCTCGACTTGTGACACTGTCACGTATGAGGACCTGTGGTGTACATATGCACATACACTAGTTATAATTAGACTGTGCTAGCATAGGTGTCCCACTTTATCCAATGTCCCATGTCAACTGTGACTAATTGTGCTCAGAAGGGGTGACTGCACTTGCTCGCATGTCTCGTTTCTTTTTGTTTTGTTCATTTTTTTCTGTTTAGTTACTTATCAATCAAACAGGAAATGGGATTTTTAAACAGAACACAGGACTCAGCTAGAAAAGGAAAAGGAAGTGGCAGCTATCTCTAGGAGAAAAAAGGCAGGAGAAAAGTTTATTTGGAACCTTATCATCAGCCCAAAAGGAATATAATTTTCTTTTCTCTCTCTCATCTCTGTTCATGGAATACTTGGATTAATCTCAGAACTCGGTGTTGTGCCAGGAAGCTGGGTCAGATCAATGTTTTTCTCATTGGGCTTTACTGGGAGCTTTCTGGGTTTTTTGACAGTTTGGTGAGTTTTGTTTTGGCACGTCTTTCTGTTTTGTTGCTGAGACTTAACTGTACTGTAATGTATTACTCTGGGATTCAATGACTTAATGACTTAACTTTCTGTCATTCTAGTCTGATTAGTATAGTATCTGTGTTTTCTTTCTGTGTGACTAAAAGATTATTTTCTAATTGAAAATCAAATCTAAGGCAATTCATTGGTTTCATTATATACACATTATTATATTAACTGTACCAAGTTAGTGTCCAGATTCTGTGGTAGCTATTGGCAGCACTTCATGCTGAAATTTCATGCTGACACTCTCAGCACTTTGAAAAGTTTACCGACTTTTATTTTACTTCTTCTTTTTTTCCTCTTTATGCATTCTTCCAAATGTTTCTACTTTTCTTGTATTTTGTACTTTTCTACATTTTGTTGCCTTTTTTCTTTCCTCTGTATAATTTGTGGTGCACTTTTGTAAATGTTATACTATATAATCTTCCATATTAATTAAAAAAATCAACCAAAATCAAAACTTTGACATTATTTGATATTTGAAAGTACAACCCTTTTACCCAAATTATAGACTGAAATTTAATTATTTTTTGTAAAATATCAAGTATTTTACGTTTTTTTACATTTTGTTACCCTGAATTAATTCTATAATAAAATATAATCTCTTTGTCAGCATAGAAACCTTAGTTGATGTCAAAATTCAATGTTCTTTCTTTAATTTTTTAGTTTACATTTTAAAGGATAAGTGGCACCTCCATGTCTGAATCACCCAGCAGATACATACATTTTTTCTGAGGACGTTGAGAATCTGTGTAGGTTCTGTCACTGAAGATCCCTCATAGTGCAGCTGTGGAATAGAGGCTGTGAAAGTGGAGGAGAAAAAGGCTTTTCAAACACCCTCATCTATCATAGTCTGCCTAGCACTATCTCTATGTGGCTATTAATGCTCTATGTGGCTAAAGCTCCCCAGCAGGATAATTGGGATAATTTGTGTATCCCAATACACAAATTATTTAATACAATTGCTCATTATCACTTCCACTAACACAGGACTGCTGATACAGTGTATTATCCTTGTATAACTGAATTACCTACAGTGAATTATCCACTCTCACCTGTAATAGTCCTCCATGTCCAGTCCACTGGCTTCACTGTAAGTTTGGCACCGGCAAATTTTGCATACACCTGCAGAGAAGCATTGATGCCACAGAGGAACACAACATGAACTGCAGAACAGTGCACAAAAGATTAATAACGATACTCAAAAGCACCTGATAGCTAACATAAAAGAGGCCATATCGTGATAAAACTACATCCCAGACTTGATGACACAAAGATCATGCATTTAAAGCCTCTGCTTCAAACAGAACAGTCAAAAAAAATCAAAACGTCTCGCTCACTGCTACCATTTTTTTCATGCAGAATCTATGGAAATTAAGTTACAAAAATAGCTCATTTTAATGAACTGTTTCTGAATATGGCCCAAACACCAAAGCATTTACAAAAATCAGCCTATTAATCCCACAGCAGGTTAGCTCCGCCCACTCATTTGGAAGTTATAAAGAGTGTTTCAACACAAAGTGATTTTGAATGAGGCACAATACAGGCAGCCAATCAGAACAGGAGTCATTTGCATATAGTAATCTTAAAGGTGTGGTAACAAAAGCAGTTTGCTTAAGTCAAAGTGATAAAGAGAGGTTAGAAACGGTTACGTAAAAATTAATTATGACTGTTTTTGGTATAAACCCACATGAATATTAGAAGTGAACCTCAATAAAACTGTAGGATATGGACTCTTTAATGAAGCTCACTGTACAAAAGATATACAAAAAGAAGGAGCTGCTAGTTTGACACAAACTAGTTATCTTCCAGCATTTCTACTTCACCACAGCACAGCATCTAAATTCTAAACCTAATACCCTGAGGACGAAACTCAGCTGGCTAATATTTATGTGTTTATTGAATGTTTATACCTTCCAGCTCCTCAGACAGGCAATGATAAGCTGACCTTGAGGACAAGAAGCTCTGCAGTAGAGATTGTCTGACTGATAAAGCAACCAGGTCAAAACTTTCTTGGGACAGAATTAGGCAGCTGGCTAAAGAACAGTATCACAGTCAGTTAGCTAATTATTACGTATCATTTAGTTATATTAGAAGAGCGATGACTTCTGAGATATAAAGCTCTCCTTCTGTAGAACTGTCTGATATTACTGACAGATCAGCTAACCGTGCTATCCAGCTAGCCAGCGCTTCAGCCAGCGTCAGCTGAAAAGCCTCTGAAAGTAAACCGCAAGGTTTTCGCTGCGCAAATAAACAGGCATTTTCAGACATTTTCAGTTACCAGCACAATGAGAGACTCTGTGTGAACGGACGGTAAGTCCCAATCTCCTCCCCAGCAAAGCAGCTCCATGGGTGCCGCCATGGTTGTTTGATAGAAACGCCAATGATTTTAAGGGTGCGGCTGTATAACAGCAAGCTCGCTTGTCGTGGCTCGCTCACCGTGGCTCACTGTCTTACATCGTTTTCTTAGGTTGTTTACATCAGTGTTTCTCAACTCCAGTGCAGGTTTGTGCTTTTTCTGCACCAGAGTCACAACATTAGCTGACGATCAAGTCCCTGGCTGCGCCCAGAAATCCAGATATACTGCTTTTTCCTACCAATCCTCCTTCTATCCTGTTTGACCCGGATGCCATGTTATCGGCTGAATATCAGAGGAGCGAAAACAAGCTGTTTCAAACACCAGCCGAAGCGTCTTCAAGCCGAGAATACACCAGTCTATGTTACCCAGGAAGTCTTTAGGGATTTTAGAGTGATGTCACTGCAGCCAAGAAATTAATCCAGGCTTTTTTCTCGCTTGACTACTGTAATACAACAAACAAACTCCATTTTGAAAAAAGCAGCAGCAAGAATAATAACACAGACTAGAAAACGAGATAATGTTAGACTAGTTTTAGCATGACTTCACTGGCTGCCTGTCTCGTTTAGAGTCATTTTACTGTTAGTTTTTAAATTGATTAAAGGATAAAGGATTATCGCCTTCATACATTTCTGAGTGCCTGAAAGATTATGTTGCAAACTGAGTTTTAAGATCATCTAGTGCTGCCTTCTCCATATTCCTCATGTGAAACTTAATAAGAGCACAGAGGCAGTGTTCTGTTTTAATGCACCAAAGATCTGGAACACATTATCGAATAGAAACAGCTAAAACATATTTATTTACTTTTGCATTGAACTCTTTTACTTTTCTGTTAGTTGTATTTTTGTTTATACTTTTGACTCGTGCATTTTAACTTTAATTTTGATTATTATTAGCCTAATATGTCCCCTTTTCTGCTCTTTTATTTGTTGCATTTTTTATTATTTGTCTGTTTTATTTTTTTCTGTTTTCTCTGTGTTGTTTTTACTTTGTATCGTAAAGCATTTGAGCTGCATTTCTAATGTATTAAAGGTGCCAAACAGGTTTCACAATACAAGTCCTTACAGTTTATCACAGTAGTAAATAGAAAATGTTTCCTGTGGTATTTGAAAATTTCAAATGGAGTGAAAAGCTAGAAAAAACTCTGAGGACTGTTTGAGCATTTCACACTGCACCACGGTTGACAGTGGCGTAACCATGGCAACATAAACAACCCCACATCAGCCAAGAATGGATCATGGTCTCATGGGGCTCCTGGGCACAAGAGCCTCTGGAGGCCCCCCCTACCCCCACACTCTGATGACAACGCAAAAAATGATGAAAAAATAGACCTGCAAAACATCTTTAAAGGCCCATATCATTGAAAATTGCTCACTTTATTCAATAATAGAGGTCGATGCAGCATGTTAAACACTGTCAGAGTTTCAAAATGTACTGTTTACCCCACAGCCTGCTCAGTCTATACATGGAGACTAAGCTATAAAACAGTCTGTTTTGAAATCGTTGTTTCAGTGATGTCACAAAAACCAATTCAGAACCAGCACCTATCTGCCTATTCCTCCTATGACATAGTAGCCCCGCCCACTCATGTTAAAATTAAAAGTGTTTCAGCCTGGGCAATACAGGACAGCCAATCAGAACAGAGGTCATTTACATTTATGAGTCTTAAAGGCACAGTGACAAAAACAGCCTGTTTAATTCTAAGAGAGACAGAGGTTAAAAATGGTCATGTAAAACTTTATTTTGACAGTTTTTTCTTGTATATAACCAACACAAACATCATGACAAAATGTTGCGCATTGCCTTTATATGTATGTGTATTTATGTATGCTCTGAACAGTGCTGGAAAAATATAAAGTAACCACAATGATTATTTATCAAAAACGTGGAATAGTCTATGTTTCTGTATGGTCTTCATGTTGGGGGCTTTTATTTGTTTTATATCATTACATATAAGGCTATTAGTTCATCTAATTTTTGCATTTGCAGAGAACTGTCCCTAGTCTTTGAGCTGGTGGTCTGAGGCCCCAGGGCACTGGCACCACTTGCGGGCCAGTAATCCATCCCTGATGGCAGCAGTTTTTTCATTTCATTGTCTTTAAGCTTTATTTGCTGGCATCTGTGCAAGATATTATATTACAGACGCTAATTTATCATCAACCAGCAGTGAACCACAGTGGTGGAAAAAAGTGAGGAAACTGAGGAAACACAAAAGGGAATAAATCTCTCAATTAAAAGGACCAACACTGCTCTTTATTTGACAGCCAATAGTTCATTTATGCAGGACCCTACAGCTAAAATCTTAAGGCAAAAAAAACAAAATTCAAAGGATACAAGTTTGATCAAGTGTAGTAGTTCTCCATCCACACATGGCAAAATGTGTGAAGTATGATGCACTATGAAGACATGACGTTCATAGGAAGGCATGTCCTTCATTTTTTTTACTTTGAGTTTATTTCTGGCCTTTTGCAGGTAACTGTAGAAATGCAAAACTGAAAGTGGCATTGATTCAAGGCACAAAGCCATACAATTCCTGGAAGTGTTAGTCACAATCCAGTGTGCAGGATTTATTAAGAAACAGAAAATGATGCAAGAGTTTAAAGGTACACATTGTGATGATGATGCCATTTTATTTGGTATGATGTGCAGCAGTTAAGACTGATTTTAAAACGGATTCCAGCTTTGTTTGAAATACATTACCCATAGTCCTACAGCAAGTTGCACCAATCAGAGACGTCACAGTTACTGTGGAAGTGTTCTCTGTCAGCTAGCAGCATTCTCAGAAACAGAAATTAGCCTCTGATAGAAATGATGAAAATTAAATAAAATAAACTGGTCAATTTAAAATGTTTAGTTTAGTTAAACAATAATCCAGCTAAAAATTATGAAAAGACTCCCTGCTCTCTTCAACCTACTGCTGTACAGCAGGCTCCCTCTAAGCACAGAAATAAACATCCCCCTTTTTTTTAGGATAGTCACACATTCACATAGTGTTAATAAAATAACTCCTCACATTCCCTTTCAGTAATTAGATATGTCCATTGGGACGACTGTAAAAAATAAAATATATAGGCTAAATGAGGATTATAATACTATTTTTCTCTTTCATAGTAAGGTTCATTGCATCATGGCTGCTGAGCAACTTGTTAGTAAAAAACAAGGTACAAAACTACAAAACCAGAACAATAAATTCAAACACTTTCTGTACATGAAACTATTATATATAATATAAAACACTAATATATGAAAAAACCAGCAGAGAATAAATATGAAATTGCAAAAGTTGGCTGAAAACTGTTTAAAAAAGAAGGAGAGTTATTTGTCGACATCATTGACAGTGATTTCTCCTTAAAAACATTAAAGAGGAAATACAAGTGCAGTCTTATACCAGTCTTACCAGTTTTTAATTTTTTTTTCAAAAATAAATAAAAATATAATAATGTCATGATTCATCTTATAGCTGGTTGGTTTGGTTAGGTACCTGTGTCTGCGGAGAAAATGAATATCTATGGAGAAATGAATGGAAGCAGAGCCGCAGAAAAGAGGGTGGTCTCATTTAGCTCTGTATGATACTATCATGATACTTCAGCCATAATAGAATTCAGTTATGATTGGTAAAGGTTTGTGGTATGCTGGGTACTGCGATATGACAAACTGCAGAATACTGTGATTTATCACTTCTGACTGCATATTATGCCTCCAAAAGAATGCCTTTCTGTTTTGTTTAATGAAAAAAAAAGTTATTCATCTCACAGTCTTTTTACTGGAGCATAATAGAATTGTGTAGACAAAGAAATGTTCAAAACGCTTCCTCCTCCACATTTACCAGATGCTCTTATCTCATGACTGTAGCATTAGGAATCTAGCCCAGTGACATTCCTGCCTGAACAGAGAAGTGAACCTTCAGTCTTCCTATTCCCTTTTTACATACTTTATAACATGCTTTTACCTTTTTCAACTGTCAGATTGCAATGATTCAGTGTAAGTTCTGCTGCTACAGTTATTGACTTGATCCTTCATCTAACAAACTTCGCTTGAGCTAATAAAGTAATGGAATGGCCCTTCAGATGATGTTGGGATTTCCTGAGGGGAAACAGCCCAAGCTGTTGGAAGTACTGAAACAGACGGCACGTGTCTGGCAGTGTTTTATTCACCATCCACTTTTCACTAACCTTGGTCTGCCCTGACTTATTTCACATTAAATCTATTCATAATGAAATAATAAACCTCAGTACATAGGCCTCAGAGCATCAACATTGTTTTTTTTCATCAAAATATTGCAACTGTACATTTTTCCTCCCATCTCTGTTTTGTTTAGTGTGCACATCTGACATCTTTATAGTAAAACGGTCACATTCTGGGAAGTGAGTTAGGAGATTTCTGGAGGAGGTCCTTGGTCACACCTTCCATGTCTAAAGTCATCTGAAAAGCATAAATCTCTCGGGCACCTATCTGGTTTTCATTCAGCAACTGGGCTGCAGTCATCCAAGGGAAAAAGAGCGGCTGTTTTGGCTGCTACTGCTCTAAATCTTCTGCAGAGGCTGCAGAAGCACAGGCTTCAGCTGGGATACTAAAAGATCCTTCATTATTCAGGACTAGAAATTAGAATTTCTTCCACGAAAATCATCAAAATGGCTGCATGGGCAAGAATTTTATTCTGTTTACTTGCACTTTCCTCTACTGTGAATGCCCAAGGAATTGGTAAGTCAATAACTTTAATATTATTCCTAATCATTAATACAACAAAGCTGCTTTTTGTGATGCATGGCAGATTTTCTATTGGAAAAAGCAGAAACTGCACTCTGATGTTGTTATTAGGTTTTGCACTATGAAACGTTTATTATGTCTGGCAGCCATCAGTTAGAATGCTAACACAGTGCTTATCTGACATAAGGATTTGCATATTTAAAGTGAATATATATGGACTCCTATGGATAAACATGCTTTACAAAAATGGTTGAAATTAGAGGTGCCCTGCAAAAGTCTTACTAATGAAAATCTCAGCAGGGCCCCATCAGTGTGCTGTGATGGTAATAGGTGTGAATTCAAACACTCTATAAACTGGTCTTTGGTCCACAGTCATAGCTGGAAATAAGCAGCCTTAATAGCTTTCAGTAGCTCTGCTGAAATAAGACAAACGTTCAGTTATTCAGTGGTTATTTTAGCTATTCAGTAAAGTAATATATGCAGTTCAAAATCAAATCATTAAACTGTGTTTTACTTTATAAACAGTAATATTTCTGCATGTAGTCCACTTTTGCACAACAGGTGAAAAAAAGATTCAGTGGAATATAAGTAGTGTGTTAAGCTGACTTCTCTGTTGCAGTCTATGATCTCCTGGTGTCTCCGGACTGTTTGCCTGATCTGCTGCAAGGAGGACTGAAGACTAAAAATGTGAACGACGTTTTCATCCTGACAACCTTCCAGCTCCACAATAAAGCTCCAACACGTGTTTTTCGCATTTACAATCCTGCCGATAACAGCGATTATTTTGATTTCACTATGCATGGAAAGCTCAACAAAGGTACCTTCGGTTCGAATGAAACCTTTTTTAAGTGGTTAGATAGTAGAGCAATTAAAAATTAACTATTTTATTTTTTCACTAAAGTCTACTTATGATATTTGTGTGGGTTTCTGTACCAAAAACAGTTATAATTCATTCTTATATAATAGTTTTCTAACCTCTCAGTCTTATACAGGTAAATGACCTCTGTTCTGATTGGCTGTTCTGTATTCTACCTTTATTCAAAAAGCAATCCAGGATGAAACACCGTAGGCAGAATAGACACATAGACACTATATGGCCAAAGGTATGTGGACAGCTGACCATCTCATTGGACAACCCATTCCAAAACCATTGGCATTAATATGGAGTTGGCCCCTTTTGCAGCTTTGACAGCCTCCACTTTTCTAGGAAGGATTTCCACAAGATTTTGGAGTGTATCTGTAGGAATTTGTGTCCATTCAGTCAAAAGGGCATTTGTGAGGTCAGACACTGATGTTGGATAAGAGGGCCTAAAATTTCAATTTATCCCAAAGGTGTTCAGTAGGATTGAGGTCACGGCTATGTGCAGACCACTGGAGTTCCTCCACACCAAACTCATCAAACCATGTCCTTATGGAGCTCACTTTGTGCACAGGGGCACAGCCATGCTGGAACAGGAGATGGCCTTTCCCAAATTGCTGGCACAAAGGTGGAATCATATAAGTGTCAAAATATTTTTGTGTGCTGTAGCATTAATATTCACCCTCACTGGAACTAAGGGGGCTACCCCAGCCCAGAAAAACAGCCACAAACCATTATTTCTCCTCCATCAAACTTTATTTTTGGCACTATGCTGTTCTTGAGGCATTCACCAAAACTAGATTCATCCATTAGACTGCCTGATAGTGAAGCTTGATTCACTTCAGAGAACTTTACACACAATTCTTGTGCTGATGTTGCTTCCAGAGGCAGTTTAGAACTCAATAGTGACGCAACAGAGGACAGGCAATTTATACATGCTACACACTTCAGCACTTGCTGATTTTGCTCTCTGAGTTTGCGTGATCTACTACTTCGTGGCTGAGCTGTTGTTTCTCCTAGACACTTTCATTTTACAATAATAGCACTTACAGTTGACCGGGGCAGATCTAGCAGGACAGAGATTTCACAAACTGACTTGTGGCAAAGGTGGCATCCTAAAGTTACTAAGCTCTTCAGTACAACTCATTTTACTGCCAGTGTTTGTCAATGTGCAATGTGTGTGGCTGATACACCTGGACTCAATAATTAGCAGGAGTGTCCACATACTTTTGGCCATATAATGTATGTAAATGTGTTGTTTTTTGCGACATTACAAATACAGTGAATTAAAAAAGGTCTGTTTTTGTAGTGAACAGTATGTTTTGAAACTTTGAAAATTTAGTTTTCCATGTAATAAGCCTTTTAAGAAATGCAGTGATCTCAGACCAGGGTTTGAAGTCAGAATGTCTTGACACGTACAGAAACCTCTCTCTCTCTCTCTCTCTCTCTCTCTCTCTCTCTCTCTCTCTCTCTGTCTCTCTCTCTCTGTCTCTCTCTCTCTCTCTCTCAGTGTCTCTGAGGTATCTGAAAAGCAATGGAAAGATGGGCATTGCCAACTTCATTAAAGTGCCGCTGGCAGATGGCCGCCCGCACAACGTCATACTGCACTTCAGCGGGCTGACACACGGCACACCCAGCATGGCCCTGTATGTGGACTGCAGGCTGGTGGAGATAGTGGAGGACTTACCGGTCGCCTTCAAGATGCTGCCGTCTGGCCCCAACAGAGTGGCCCTGAAAACCATGCCAACTACAGCACAGGTCTGATTCACTACTTCAGCGATGTTTATATCATATACCACAGACTGAAATCCAAAAAGTATAGCCAAATAGTGTTTATTTATTGTTTCTTTTCCTATGAATCTTGAAACTACACAGCAGGCCCAGGCTAATTACCAAGGAAGTTAAAGGTGAAATAGTTAACTATTTTAAGGTCATTGTATTACAAATAACTTAGACATAGAGTGTTGTAGGATCCTACGGGCCCTAGTGCCAAAAACCCATATATATGAAAAGTATCTTCAAAAAATATATAAATAAAGAACCATAAGTGCTAACAATTTACTTGAACTCTACAACGCTACAAAACACTGACATAACCATGCCATAGCTGTAATATCATTATGCTGTCGTTAGTTATAAATGACTTACTAAGGTTAGATAAGTCAAGATAATCTTTTATTAGTCCCACAACGGGGAAATTCTCAATTACTGACAATAGTTATAGCATCAGAGGTGGCTTAATGGGAGCCTGGCCACTTCCTATTTCTCCTGTTATATCAAAAAGTTATATCAACTGCAAAAACGCCAGAGGGTGCCTGCGAGTGAGTACTACATTAATGGGGGTGAATGGAGCCAAACAGCTAAAAATGAAGTTAAAATAGTTTCTAACCACTTATCCAGGACCTTTCTTTAATTTTGGAAAGTAGAAGGATCTATTTCACATATCACATCTGCCATGACATGATTATGTCAGCAATATATAGCTGGGCTCAAGTTGAGAGTCACCCTAATATATTTACTTCTTTACTTGCTATTGCAATGTCTCAAGTAAGTTTATACTCTAATATAGTGTACTCTAATATTGAGATATTTCATCATGGTAGCCATCCATAAGTCATAGGTATGAAATAAGTAGTGATATAAGGGGCCTTCTGAAGACGTTTGGGCCCCCCTCACACTATGGGCCCTAATCTAACTGCACCGCCTGCACTACAGGTAGTTATGCTACTGAGGACATGTTATACAACAGTAGTTTTCAACCTGTGGGTTAAGGCCTGTCAACCTGCTTAGGGGGCTGTTGGCAGTCATCTTTTTATTTTAAACCACAAAACTTCACTGCAAAATTTAGACATTCAATCAAACCAACAAAGTTAAATATGCTGAATATTATTGTTGTGATAATTGAATCAGATGGAGTTCATCTGTCATGGATAAATGGCTACAAACATGAAATTGTAGGATGTTTTGGTGTTTATTATGTTGCGTGATTTTACAGTAAAGTGAAATTCAATAGGTTGCAATGATTTTTGTGTTAAATTGGCTTGTGTTTGAAACAATCAGGCTGGTTAAATCTTCTTGTGGGCTGCGAAGGCTTTTGTGGTGGGCTGTGTGGGCTGTGAATTGCAAGAGGTTGGGAACGTCTGATGTAGAATATGAAAAATACTTGTTACTGCAAATTCTAGAGCACATGTGCCAAATGCCTCATACAGGAATACTGAGTTCCAGGACAAATCTTATCGAATACTATACATCATACAGCTGCTGGATTATCATTGAGAATTGCACCCTTAATCATGACTGCAGATGATTGAACTGGCTGGCACTAGATTTTAATTTCTTTCTAAAATGATACCCTAGCGGCTATATGCCAAAAGAGCATAGCTTATAGTATTATACTGATGAAAGAGAAACATATTTGTTGTATACTTACTCTAACCATTTTCTTTAGGATAGTTTGTCAGACCTTAAGCTCGTCCTGGATGAGTCTGTTGAGAACGTTGTGGAGCTTCAAGATTGCACTCTCCAGCAGGGTGAATCACTGCAATTACTGGGTGAGAGGCTTTTTCTGGTACCATAAGTTGTGGTTGTGAAATTGTAGCAAGGAGTGTTTATTATAGGCCTAATCTCTATAGGACTTACATCAAAACTGGAGGCAGGTCCCATGTTGGAACTTGTAAGGATGATGCAAGAACTAAAAGAGAAGATGGACCAGCAGGTACCATGCAGTGTTTATTTTTTTTCCAGAGACCTTGGTATGCTATAAGACTCTTATTAAAGTTTTTCTGCAGGTAGAGTGATTTTCCAGGTCACTTTCTTCTTATTGTCCTAACAGATCCGAGAGACTGCCAACATGAGAAAAATAATTATGGAGTGTATTCCGTGTGGTGAGACTCTTTTCTGCTTGCTTCCACGAGGCCTGATGTGAAAACTTGTTCAATTAGTGCTGGCATTGTGCTTGCCTTCACTTAAGCCAGCATCATATACCATTATAATGATGATGATGACTTGCTGAGACAGGCTAATGAAGCATTTGGTTAATATTTAGATGGACAAAAAGGAAAAACAGACATGCCAGCCAAGTGTGCTCCAGGAGTTTGCTTCCAGCAGAGCATGTGTATTGAGACAGAGCGAGGCTATGAGTGTGCACCCTGTCCTAAAGGCTACACTGGAGATGGAGTCCACTGTGACGATGTGAATGAGGTAGGTTTTCCCAACATAAAGCAGTACTTCACCCATAAAATGCTGAGGACACAAACTTTGCATTGTATTTTTTTTTCTGCTTGCAAAATTTGTGTGGTATCTAGAACAGTCACAGTTAACTTTTTCCTAGCTATTTTTGAAGTAAAAAGGCAGTTCTTGTAAATGACCGCTGATCTGATTGGCTACTTTGTATTGTGCCTTATTCAGAAAACAGCCTGGCCTGAAATGTATAGAACAAACTGATGATACACGCAGCCTATGATTTAATCTGTACAACATTTTCACTGTATTTTAAACTAAATTTTCAATGAAGAAAAATGACAGCTATGATCATGTTGTTGCACAACATACTAGAGCTTGAAGGCAGGGCGAGTGTGGCATATGATATGAAGATGTAGTGGGTTGTTGATTAGTGTTAGGATGTCTTTTCTCCACACATTTTTGCATTGCAATATCACATTATTTTAAAGCATCAATTCCAGTGTTGGGTTTTTGATTTTGAAAAACTAGTCTGAAATGTACGGTCTTAAATATATTCAGTAACATATTCCAGTACGATGCATAAAAAAGGGACATTCAGATCTTATTTAGAACACATACGGATAAAGCACATGGAAAAACTCACTGTCCACATTTTTAATTAATTCACTGATCCTCACTGTTACTGGTTGGCAGTTTTCTTGATGTAATTCATCATGTTTCATGATGTTTCATGTATATTGCCTGTGTTATCCACTGCTGCTCCAAAAATCCCACTTCTGTCTTAACTAAGCAAACAATTTACCATATCCCAATAACAAAATCTTGCAAATCTGACTATAAACTGGCTAGCTATGTGAATTTCAGTTAATGACACATATTTTAAATGCTGTGAAATATAACTTATACTTAACAAAGATACTTAATACCAACCCTGATTATTACACCCTAGAACTCCTATATTTCAAATCGAAACTGAAATCCATCAGAAAAAAAAAAAATTAAAAATAAACCATGATGAATTCGAAATGGGTTGTTTTGTCAGCTTAGTTTCCATATACTGATTTGTATGGACATGAGAGCAAGCCATATGTTTTGAAAATTAAACAATGTTTGCATACTACATAACATTTTTTCTATACAATAATTGTCAGCATTTAAAAATGATATGGTAACACTTAACTTGAGCTGTGCAACATAACAATGACTTAACCTTTCCATATACACATCATGGCACATTGTGTACAATAATATAACATGTTATCATTAGCAGTAATTGTCATGACAGATTGCCATAATGTTGCCATAATGTTATGACAGCTAATGAGAGTACACAGCAAAAATAAGAGTGTGACATAAGCTGTCATGACAATTACTAGCAACGCTAACATAGCATGTTATATTACTGAACAAAATCTGTCATTTCCTCCTGGAGGAAAACTGAATTTTCCATGTGGCTTCTTTATGGCTGGTGTATTTCTGTGGAAATGAAACCATATTAATTATTTTATTAACTAAAATACATTACTTGTGAGCCATGTTAGCATTAACTGGAGTGTTCATCCAATATAGTCCCTATTTAGTAAGTTACTGACCAAGAGGAGCTGAGATACAGCCTCAATCAGGAGGTGTTTTTAATTCCTTATTACCTTTACAGTTTATTTTATTGTAGCCTTGACCACTCTTGTAGCTAAAACTGTAACTTTTGTGTGTTCGTTATTATCCGCAAGTCTGTCAGTTCAGGCTCATCCTGCAGACAGATGGAGAGAAAGCATGCATTCATAACAGACTAGCTCTCTCTGTGGAGTGCGAGTGGCCCTCCCTAAAAGCCGCTTGTTGTTTTTTTCCATTACTCACTGCAGTACGTTATCTCTCCTTGCACAGAGCAAGTGTCCTACATTGCTGCAGGACAATCAAAGCCATTCAGTAAAACCCATGTAATAGCATTTTATCAAGGCTTTATTTACAGTCGTTGTTTGACTGCTGCATTTTGAATTTAAAAGCAGTTTTATGAGAGATTGAAGTAAACACTCAGCATGAGAGTGCACACGTTTGCCAATTGCACAAAGACCACGTGTGCATGCTTGCTTGGTGTTATGAAATACAGATGTATGGACGATCATCTTGTCAGCGTGTTGTGATTTGTGTGCTTGTAGTGTCAGTTCAACCCGTGTTTCTCCAGTGTGCGCTGCATTAACATGGCTCCAGGCTTCAGATGTGAGAGCTGCCCCAGAGGCTACACTGGGGAGGTTGTGCAGGGGGTGGGCATCACCTATGCCCAAACACACAAGCAGGTGAGAAAGCACATAGCAGGATCCAAAGCGTATAATATTGAAATCATGGAGTCATTAAGGTTATATTCAACCTATAAAAACAGATATTCTGTTTTTAATAGCTGCCACCTTGCAAACAGTCTATTATTGCACTAAGCAGTTTTCCCATGTATTATATTCGTCTTGTATATGCTTAATCTAATTGCTAAACAGTTCCTGTTTTCTAACCCCTTGTTATTGTGTTATTGTGACCGTATTATTGAGTTTTCATTAATTAAATCAGTCAGTAGCCATTATGAAAATAATACGTAAATTATGAAGTTACTGAATTGTGGGTCACATACAGGCTCTTAAGATTTAAGGGTTAAGGGTTTACTCCTATTTTTACATGATTACAAGTACAGTGCCGTGCAAAAGCCAGAGACCACCCTTCATTTATTTAATTTCCAGCCAAAATGTCCATGAAGTGCAAGTTACTAATTATTCACAATTACAACTAAATATAAATACATTTTTTCAGTATTTAATATTTCCACCTTTTACCTTTATTACTTTTCAGTAGACTGAAATCTGTAGGCAGTTCAGTCTTAGAAGTTGGTTGCATTTTCTGCTTCTTATGATCCAAGTAATCTCAAACACATTCATTAATTTTGAGGTCTGGACACTGCAGAGTCCAGGCCTCAAGAGTCCAGTACACAAGCAACTTTTCTATGTTTCAAGGATGTTTATCCCATGGTGATGGTGGTTTTGGTGGTCTACCAGGAGTTAAATTTTCTCTATATATTTTAGGAACGCATGTGGATTTTTCATACATCTAACCACCTCAGAAACAACTCCTGAAAAATTAATAACTTGTCCCTAATGGCTAATGGTTATGACTGGAAATAAAATCAATGAAGGGTGGTCTTTTGCACAGTACTGCATGTACAAGTGTTCATAAGATTGAGCTGTATGTAGTGTATTTTTTATTGAAGGAGGAATGTTTTCTTCAATGTGGTGTGTTACAGCCAAATACTATACAGTTCTCCATGCATGTTAAGGTGGCAAAAATGCTTCATTCTGCTTCTGTTTTGGGCATTGTTATTGATGCCAAATCATCACTAACCTCTTCTCTGTGCACCAGGTCTGCACTGACATAGATGAATGCCAAAGCTCAGACAACGGAGGCTGCACCCCTAATTCCTACTGCCATAACACTGTGGTAAGATGTTCATTTCCATCTCCATTCCTGTTTACCTCCTTCATACAGTGCTACAAAACTGTAAATAAGCTTCTGTGCGTTTTTTCAGTTGTCGGTGGTGTGTTCTTTTAGGGTTCCTTCCGCTGTGGAGAGTGTATGCCTGGTTTCTCTGGAGACCAAGTGAGGGGCTGCAGGTCTTCTAGACCAGGTTCTGACTCTAGTACTGGACCAGGCTCTGGCTCTGATACTGGACCAGGCTCTGGCTCTGGTACCGGACCAGGCTTTGGATCTGGTACCGGACCAGACTCTGGTACTGCTGCTTCTGCTGCTCTCTCTAGCAGGCAGTGTGGAAACGGCCAGACCAACCCCTGTGACATCAACGCTGAGTGTATAGTTGAGAGAGACGGAAGCATCAGCTGTGTGGTGAGATGCTGAGATAGAATGTGCTATATATCTCACAAAACACCTAACCTATAAACCACGTTATACATTACAGCAGTGGTCACCAAACCTGGAGATCTACCTTCTTGCAGAGTCTAGCTCCAACCACAATCTGCCACATCTGCTCCAGCTAATTAACTTCTTCAGAAGTTCCTGATTGGCTGGATCAGATGTTATATTAGGTAAAGGGGGCAGCATTTTAGAACTGGAACTAAACTCTGCAGGAAAGTAGAGCTCCAGGAGGAGGGTTGGTGACCACTGATGTACAGTTTGGACCATGCTTTGAGCTTGGACACAGTGTTTAAGGAATAGTTTGGCAAAATAAATATTGAAAAAAGTCAACACTTACACAAAATGTAGTCCATCAGCCAAAACATGTTTGGTGCTTCTTTAGTTTTGCCCTGAAGCTACAGGACTAATGTTCACTACTGGTCAAAGGTTTGGAATCACGTTTTTAATTCCATAAAACCAATTTAGTGTCCAATAATTATATAAAATAAATTCAGTCAGGTATCCTGATTAACTTCATAGCTTTCAAACAGTTAGTAGGAAGCTAGTAGGCTGTAAAAAAGCTGTAAATAAAACCTAGATGTGTCCAGAATGATGAACAGAGCTGTAGATATTTCTAAAAAAGCATTGGAAATTAAGGCTTAATAAACATAACCTACAAAGTGCTTATATTTAAAAAAAAAGCGATAATCAAATTTGAAGTAGATAACTTGACAAAAAAGACTAGATATAGATAATTACCCTATACAGTAACTCAAATCACTTGAATAATCATAATTAAAAAACCTTTTAGTGTCTAGTTTAATATTTAAATCACATTATGTGAGTTATTGTGTATAAAATAGCACAAATTATTAATGTACTACGTGATTCCAATCTTTTGATAGTAGTGTAGCTAACAAGCTTATATTTACCAGTTAGCATCATGCTAATGCACACCACCTTCCTCAAACATGAGGTACATCACATAGCAAAAATAGCATTAGCAATCATCTTAATGCTTGAATTTTCTCAGTAGGTTTGTCCATTTTAATCGATAAATATGCCATACAGTGTCAGAAATGACATAACAAGATCGCTTAACAACTCCACATGATTTAAGGCAAGTGTGTAACGATTTAGCCATGCAGTTTACAAGATGCTACCTGGTGCCTCCATTACTTGTTAGCTACATTAGCATTGTAGCTCAAGTGTAATAAGGAAGCAAACCTTAGACACCAAACATGTCTTGGTTGATGAACTACAATTTAGCTAAGGGGAAAACTGTAAAAGCATTGAACTATTCCTAAATGCATTCTTCCTTCTTCAGTGCAACATCGGCTGGGCAGGCAACGGCTATGTGTGTGGCAAGGACACAGATATTGATGCTTATCCTGACAGAAAACTTCAGTGCCAGGATGCAACCTGCAAAAAGGTGAGCCACATGTAGCTTTTCTTCATCTTTAATTCCCTAAGGCATGAAAGCCTTAAAAGACTAATGAATGGTCATTTTCATGCTGCTTCCAGGACAACTGCATGTCCGTGCCTAATTCCGGCCAGGAGGACGCGGACAGGGATGGAAAGGGTGATGCGTGTGATGAAGATGCAGACAATGATGGTATCCTCAATGAGAAGGTACACACTAGGAATCCTCTCACATTAATACAGAAGCTCTTTAATAGCTCTTTGAAATGACCCTTATTTTCTCTGTGTGGTCATAAAACAGGACAACTGCTGGTTGAACCAGAACGTAGACCAGAAGAATAGTGACGACGATCTTCACGGTGATGCATGTGACAACTGTGTAAATGTGAATAATCCAGACCAGCGGGACACAGACCAGGATGGACTGGGAGATGCTTGTGATGATGACATGGACGGCGACGGTAACAAATATTTAAAGCTACATTTTGTGATTTTAGGATTTTATAAAATAATTGATATACAAACATTGACACAATTTTCTCCTCAGATCAAACTTGCCCGAAACATATTTTGTTCTCCAAAGTTTATCATACTGTTCTCTATGAAAATGGACAAAAGTATTGACAATATTTGGGCTTCAAGATACAGTGCACTACTGTTTTTACCAATCAACATACTTTTGTCCATTTATAAAGATAATAGCAGGGGATAACATATAAAAAAAGGACTGCTAGATGAATGAGCAAAAAAGGGGGAGCCTAAAAAATAAGGTTTGGTTTTTACTTGCTGTTAACAAATAACTAGAAGCTGATTATTGTGGACTTCTGTGGACCCAAGAAGAAAAAAAGACAGTTTGGCTAAGATGGGCCTGATTTACATCTGGCTCAAGTTGTAGATTCTCAAAGCCTGGAGAGGAATTTGTGCCAAATTGAAAAGCAACCACTACAGTGGAAAAATGTGAAATGTAGTGCACACATGATGTTTCTTTTCCATCGTGACAAGAAGAATATTTGCCAAAATGGAAAAACAAAACTATTACATTGCTTTCATGTCGCTTGACCTCAAAAACAATACACGAGGATTTACATTTTAAATTACAAAATGCTGAATTTGTGTCAGAATTGAATACAGTCCTCCTTGAACTGTAATGAAGGCACAACTATTGCTTTCCATCATGCAGTACTTCAAACAACATTAAAACAATTTAATAGATCTTTTACTTTTTATTGTTGCATGTTTTCCACATGTTACTGTTTAAATACAATCTCACATGTGCATTTCACTCTTTTGGTTGTGCTTTAATGAGACAAATATGTTTGAAGTTCAAAAAAGAGGCCAATGATGTGAAAACATTGTATTAGAGATTTTGTTTTTCATTTTGGCACACGTTGCATGTCACGATAGAAAAGTAATGCTGTGTGTATTGCATTTCAAGTTTTTCCACTGTACATGGTACAAATTCCTTTCCATCGTGAACCAAATACATCGTAATGTATTACGTGTTAAGCGTCTCCTATATTTATTATCCATTTGGGCTTCTCCACCTTCCTGCAGTCTGGAGTCAGTACTAGTTGGGCAGTCCAGTTCTAAAATCTGATTGGCTGATACATGCTTGAAACTATTGTAAAATACTGCATAAAAGCACATAAATAGGAACTGTCCAATTTTAAGCATGTCATTATATGGCTTATAATATGTTTAATGCAGAAACATTTTAATGAACTTCAGAAGAAGCCTGACTTTGTCTGATTTACATCACTGCAATTATGCTAATTACTATTAGCACCCTTATGGGATTTTCAGTATTATGTTAGACAAGCTAACAGTGGTGCTATAGAAGCTGTACATGGACATTTGGAGCTTATAACAGCTTGTAACAGACGTTCTTGTGAGATATCTTTTACTTTGTATATTGCTGCTTTATAGAGTCCTTCAGTAATGATTTGAACTTAAATCTTGTTAAATCTTGAAATCGAATGCTGGCCACTGCTATGTATTTATAAATCACAGAGTGACATTGACACAGGTGATGTTTTTTCAGTAAGAACAGAGATGTCAAAGAAACATATTTCCACCTCCCTCAGATTTTCCCCATCTCAGCCTTGCCTCCCTGCACCTCCAAGGACATTTGTTTTCGCAGAAACAGTGCGTTATGTTTGAAAATATCTTTTTCAGTTGGCCTGTTTTTTGTCCAGATTTTCTTGCGCTTAGATCATTTTTATGGGGGAAAAAACAGGAGCGACTGTGAGCCTGCATTCTTCAGAACACCAATTAGAAGCATTTTTTCAATGGGCTTCTTAATAGTTATTCAGGTGACAGCTGTGCGCCTGGGGGGCATTCTTACTGTAAAGTCCCTTTGAAGCACAGCATCAGTAATGACAATTATGTGTTCCAGTCTGAAAAGCATAAAAAAGCACAAGCCCAGGCAGAGCTTGACATTTACAGTCTGTTCTGAGAGGCACGGCTCCAGGCACTTGACTCAGTTGACTCCATTGTGCAGAGTCTGGTCATGTCTTCCTGGGCAAAACCACATTTCCACTGCAAAGTCCAGCCAAGAGCTGATGACCAGTGGAAACTATTCTGCAGCGCCCTAACTGAAACACTGCCACCTTGTGACATGCAGCCCAAAATAAACATGTGCACAAAAAAGGCAGGACCACTCTATACATGCCAGACTACTAACACATCAGCGTGATGCTCATGATTCTGTTTGCTCCATTCAATGACATTTTAGGCTTTGCAGGTCACAGAACCGTTCAGAAATGTGTGTCATACATAGTTTGTTGTAGGACTGTCACAATTACTCAGTTTATTTAACTTGACTAATTAGATTTTTTTTTCTGGACTAAAAACAATCGCTGGGTACACAGACGCCTCCAGAAGTTTTTGGACATTTGTGCTATACTAAACATAGGAAGCAAAACGTCAAACCAAGTTACATTTACTTTTTACAGACCCTTTCATAGCTGGAATTTTCTCTTTGACAAAGTGTTCTTTTAAAAGGCATATTTTTATGGTTTAAGCAGTTTCTTTGTACACTTCCGATTTCATGCTCCCATCAATGAACACAAGCTCACAGATTCCACTGTAAGGAAAACTGTCAGACTTTCATGTGTCCACCTCTGTGCTTTACAGTAGCCTTAGTGCAGTCTGGTTGGAATTGTTCTCTGTGCATTTGCACAGCGATTTATATCTTAGACTGTCTTAGACCATCAAAAAAATATGTAAGGTCACTAATTTAGACAGTAGGCAGTTATTGGTCAGATAAAACACTAACATCAGAATAAACACAAATAAACAAATAAATACATAATACATTGTGATTGTGTCACTGTTAGCTTAACCATTACCAAAGTGCTCCTCAAGGAAGTCCAGTATTTATAGTTACCAACCTTTTTAAAGGGATTTGCAGTTACTTAAACAAAACATTGTTACTTGTTGTTTTATTGTTGTATTATTTTACTGTATTTACACTCATGTTTTGTTGATTTTATAAGCGAAAAGGTTTACACATCCTCTATAACATTGGAAAAAAAAAACATAAACACATACACATTTCGTTTTGTGTTCTAAATGTTAAATTCAGCAAATACACAGTAATTTTGCATTAAAATGTGCAGAAGCACATTGTAAAACCATTGTAAAACCTCTGTAAATGATGTGTTATTTTATTTTCACTTAGAAAATCAACAAAACAGGTAATTTGACCAGGGTTTACCCAGACTTTTCAATACGACTGCATTTGTATTTATTCTTATGTTATTTAGTGGTTTTACTGGCAAAAGATTAAAAAATTAATTCATGCTGTAAAGATACATAGTTTCAAACCATTTTCTTGTCTGTCTAAGACTTTTAAAAAAAATATATATATATACATATATATAAATACACACACACATATACACTATCTAAGCCGCTCATCCTTGCAGGGGGTGCTGGAGGTTATCCCAGCAGTCATTGGGCGCAAGGCAGGAAACACACAGACAGGCTGCCAGACCATCACAGACATATATATTCACACCCAGGGGCAATTTACCATCTCCAGTTTGCTTGACTGTATGTCTTTAGACTGTGGGAGGACCTGAAGGAAACCCACGCAGACATGAGGAGAACATGCAAACTCCACACAGAAAGAACCCCTGGTCGCCCGGCCAGGGAATCGAACCCAGGCTATAAAAATACTGTGGCAAAAAATATGTTATGTATAATATATAAATAAAAAACATTTTGCAATCTTTGAAAGGCTAAGCATGGATTGTTATTGTCCAGTCCTACTGTTTGACCTTGTTTTGAAAACTCCACACTGACAGCCCTGTTTTGCTGTACTGATTTTAATTCAATCACTTTGGTCAGTTACTCATCAATAACCTGTTGTATTTAACTGGCCAGGTTTGAAGAATATTCTAGATAACTGCCAGACAGTTCCTAATCCTGACCAGCTGGACAGTGATAACGATGGTGTGGGAGATGCTTGTGACAGCTGCCCTGAGGCGCCCAATCCCACTCAGGTACACCATCTTTCAGTTATTTCCATTTTTGTAAATAATTTCAACTATGTTTACTGTTATTTTACAATGAAAAGAAGTACATTGAAATGAAAAAGTACATTTCTGAGCATTCTAACACACTTAGGGCCGGTTTCCAGGACCCAGATTAAGCTTAATCCTAGACTTTTCTATGGTAAATCACTAGGCTTAATCCATGTCCACAAAACAGGGCCTTAATTATGCATATCTATTGTTTTATACATCATTTTGTTGCCACCTTGCTTGCTTGTTCTTACAGTCTGATGTTGATGACGACCTCGTGGGAGACACATGTGATACTAACATAGACAGGTAAATGTATTCACATAATAAGATGCTTATTCAGCGTTTGCTTTATCTAATCCAGTTACTCTTCATCTTTAACACTAAATCTGGTTTGCAGTGATGGAGACGGACACCAGAACACCAAAGACAACTGCCCCACCATCATCAACAGCTCGCAGCTAGATACAGACAAGGACGGGCATGGGGACGAGTGTGATGATGATGATGATAACGACGGCATCCCTGATGATAAAGACAACTGCAGGCTGGTGCCCAATAAAGACCAGGCAGACGAAAACAGTGCGAACCACACATCATCCTCCATATATTCATATGTAAAACTGTGTCATGCTGTACTTGCCTGGTATGATGTTTTATATCTCCGGATGTTTTATTAGATGATGGGGTGGGCGATGCCTGTGCTGGAGACTTTGACCGGGACCATGTGATCGACCGAATCGATACTTGCCCTGAGAATGCAGAGGTCACACTGACCGACTTCAGAGCCTATCAGACCGTGGTGCTGGACCCAGAGGGCGATGCTCAGATTGACCCCAACTGGGTCGTCCTCAATCAGGGCATGGAGATCGTTCAGACCATGAACAGCGACCCAGGACTTGCAGTGGGTAAGTCTGCTCGACCTCCCTTAAATACATGAATGATCTGGACTGAACCTCTTAGCAGAATGTAATGGATTCCCAACTTCAAAGGTCAAAAGATCTTGAGCAGCATTCACCACCCTCCTCCCGGAGACCTACAGTACTGTGCAAAAGTCAGAAAGTAGCTGTCGTGTATTTAATTTACAGTGAAAATGGCCATCAAATACAAGTTATACATTTTTCAGGAGATTTCTGAGGAGATTAGATATAAGATTGCATAAGGAAGGGCAAAGTCAAATTTAAGTAAGTGAAAAAAACAGGAGTTTCCAGAAATGGACTGCAAAATGAAGTGAAAATGAGAATCCTAACAACCATGTAAGACCCGCTAGACCACCAAAACTGTCAACATCACACAAACAGTACTTAAGGTTTTCATATTTGAGATAAAATCAAGCTCCACTCTTGCTCCAGATCTAAAAAAAATCCACAGATGCTTCTGTAAATTGTTCCATCCCTGCAGAATGGAAACTATAGTAAAGGCAAAGTCTAGACACACAAAATACTAAAAAAGTCCATTATATTTATGTTATATTAAATTGAAAGTATATGTTTTCAGTTTTTTCTGACACTGAAAAATAAATAACTTGTATTTAATGACTGTTTTGACCAGAAATTAAATAAATGAAGGTAGGAGGACTTCTGCCCAGTACTGTACCTTCTGGAAAGATTAATCTCCAAAATTTAAACTCATCATCCAATCTAACCACAGACTTCAGGGACTAACAATCAGCTGTAGTAGTTGGATCAAGTGTGCAGTATTAAGGTGAAAGCTAAGCTTTACAGGGCGTAAGATCTCTAGGAGCCTGGCTGGTGACTACTAGTCCAGAAGCTGAGCTAAATTTGTAGTTCTCACTGTTCCTCTCAGGTTACACAGCCTTCAACGGGGTTGATTTTGAGGGCACCTTTCACGTGAACACAGTGACTGATGATGACTATGCTGGCTTCATCTTTGGCTACCAGGACTCGTCCAGTTTCTACGTGGTGATGTGGAAGCAGACAGAGCAGACCTACTGGCAGGCCGTGCCCTTCAGGGCTGTGGCCGAGCCTGGCATTCAACTCAAGGTTCCAACAATCTCCATCTCTATTGCTCACATTAGCTTTTGACGCTCCACTTCTGTGATTATCATTAAGCTGCTCTTCTGGCCTCAGCAGAGGCATTTTTTAGAGCCTAATGGAGGATTGGCCTTCATAGTGAAGCATGTGCAGAAATGTTTAATACAATAAGGTTTCATCCGCTGCAGTCCAGTGATGGATCTGGCCTTTAAAGAAGAGCTGCAGCAGTTAGCTGAGTGTCTCTCTCTATAATTCAAGGCTGTAAAATCTAAGACGGGGCCTGGGGAGTTCTTGAGGAATTCTCTGTGGCACACTGGGGATACCAAGGAACAGGTGCGTCTGCTGTGGAAAGATCCTCGCAATGTGGGCTGGAAGGACAAAGTCTCGTACCGCTGGAACCTGCAGCACCGACCTCAAGTGGGATACATCAAGTGAGATGCCTTAAAGGGCCCATATTCTACATTTTTCTTATGACATTTGGGACACTTACTACATGTGTGTGGTTTTCTGTACCAGTGTCAGTCATAATTCATTGTTTCGTGACCATATTTCAATCTCTCTTTATCCCTTATAATTAAATAGGCTGTTTTTTACTGTGCTTTTAAGACTGGTATATGTAAATGAACTCTGTTCTGATTGGCTGCCCTCATTCAAAAAACAGTTCAGGCTGAAACACTGCTTATAACTTTACCACGAGTGAGCGGGGCTAAAATGCTGTGGGCCAAACAGGCAGATATACAGTTAGGGTCAAAATTATTAGCCCCCTTTATGAAATCAAACAAAACCGTTAGCTTTTCCAAGGAGATGACCAGTATCAAAAGTGTTTTTAGTAATTACTTCCAAAAGTACAAAGACAAAATATCTACAAAGTTTGATGAAGATATTTTACTGACATACTGAGTTGAAACAAAAAAAAAGAAAAATGGAAGGCAAAAATTATTAGCCCTCTAACAACTAATAGTAAATAGCGTAACCTTTCTGACTCACAACTGACCGCAACCTTTTACTGTAGTTCCTAATCATGTTGGCACATGTCTTTTGAGGGATCTTAGCCCGGGAAATTGTTCCAGCTCATTATTACATGGTTTTCAGGCATGGACCTTAACCTTGAGCTCCCACCATAGATTCTCTATAGGACTGAGACCTGCGCTTTGAGAGGGCCACCCTAAGACATTGATTTTGGTGTCCTTCAAAAAGTTTTGGACCAACTTGGATGTGAGTTTCAGGTCATTGTATTGCTGGAAGACCCAACAGCAACCTAAAGCCAGACTGGCAGCAGATTTCTTCACATTATCTTTTAAAATGTCAACATAATCTTCTTTCTTCATCATCCCCTGTACCCCTGAACAAGGTTTCCTGCACCTGAAACAGTCTGCTTGTACTTGTGCTTGTATATGCTACGACGATGCAGCATATAGCTGCACTGGACACTGTGAAGTGCTCGGAATTGGCAGTATAGCTGACCCCCGTAAGATGAGCATCCACTACCTTCTTTCCGAGGTCAACTTATTTCTTTGTTTTTTGGCATGATGAAATTACCTGTTATAAAGAATTTAAGTGTGGTGCCTCTCAACTTAGCCTTTAAGTGCCACTAGCCCTGTTCACTGGAGTCTATTTAGAAACGTTCAATGCTGATTGATTGCACCAGTCAAGTCAGATGGGGCTCAGCGGGCTAATGATTTAACCCTTTACATCTTTACATCAATGAATGATTTTTACATTGGACAGAATATTAGGAAAATCTCCTTGAGGGCTAATAATTTTGACCTTAACTGTATGTAAATGCATTGATATTTGTGACATCACAAAAACTATGAATTCAAAATGGGCTGATTTTACAGCTTAATTTCCATATTTGAACCATATATAAAGGAATGAGTAAACAACACATTCTGAAACTTTAACAATGATTATATAATACTTTTAATTAAAGAAATAATAGGTTTTCCATGATGTGGGCACTTTATGTGGTAAGTAGTCTTAAAAGGCTTATATTACCATATCAAAGAAAACTACATTTTTGTTCATTTTTAATTAAAGAGTGTGATGTTCTATGTAAGCACTGGCAAAGTGTCAAAATGTGATGCTCACTCACCAGTGAGTTCATTATATTTGGGGTCACAACAATCAACATATTTACATATAACCACCTACTCAGCCTAAACCCTCACGCATTAAAGTGATGAGTTTAATCACTGCATACAGTCAGAGTTATTGGAGCATAAGTTATGGGAAAGTGATTAAATGCTGTTCCTGGCTGTCGGGAAGCAAAAGTATCTTTGCAGCCTTTCAAAGGATCTGGACATCCAAAAGAGGCATCTGGAGTTTTTTTCTCCCTGACGTTCTCAAGGAATTGGGCCTCATTCACCAACTGTTACAAAGAAATTTCTTCTTAAAACCCACTTACGCAGTTTTTACAAGATTCAGCAATCTGTTTTCTTATTTTGAAATTGTTCTTAGCTATGAACAGAATCTACACAAACTCAACAATTCTGTAGTTTAAGAACACTTCATGAATCTGACAGACTTTTTCTTAGGACTTTTCTTAAGAACAAACTTAAGAAGATATTGCTGAATGAGGCCCAATGGGTCTTAAAGGCACTATAACAAAACAGCCTGTTTAAATCCCAGATGTACAGAAATGTTGGAAATTGGTCATGTATAGTTGTTGTTACTGGAAATCAGTCCCATGTGATGGACATCAAGCAGACAGATGTCTTATGATTTCATTTTGCTTGCGAAGGGTCCGCTTTTATGAAGGCACCAGCCTGGTGGCAGACTCTGGAGTGGTCATTGACACGAGTATGAGGGGTGGCCGCCTGGGTGTCTTCTGCTTCTCGCAGGAAAACATCATCTGGTCCAATCTGAAATATCGTTGTAATGGTGAGAGAACTACATGTGTTACAGTTCTACAATAGCTCTTGGCTGATTTGACCCAAATTTCCAGATGGAAAGTTTTCCAGAGATGTTAACACATTTCTCCCCACTGTGCATGTGTTGCATTTACAGATACAATCCCTGCAGACTATGAGGAGTACAGCGCGCAGCACATCTCCAGCTAAGAGGATACAGACAGAACTAAACCATGCAGTAATTTAAAGGGGCGCTCCTGCTATAAATGCTTACGTGGCTAATAATAATAATGATAATAATGAAGATAGAATGGGTTTGTTTTTGTAAAGTAAATGAATGTTGTCCACATCATTTGGCCATGTTAGCATTTTTTGGCTAAGCATTGCTTAAAGCAGTCAGTCAGTTGGCAAATCGCTCATTTGGGTGACAAGGGCAGAAACCGATTCACTGATTTTTTTGCTTTATTCAGATATTGGATTTATCCACCAGCATCAGCACACCTGGTAGTAACTCATTCCCTTTTATAACACTATGTAATTAATAATTATGTCTTGTAGCTGATGGATTTGAATGACATGTATGCCAAGACTAGCATTAACATACTGGTAGGAATAATTTCAAAGGTCTTGGAATCTGATTATCTTTAATGGGACAGACCTGAAAACACTGGGGTTAATGGTCTGTTTTCACTATGAATGGACAGGTTAACAAAGTCATAAAGGTCAGTGTTGACCTCAGATGAATATGTTTTCTGATTTATTTTGGAACTGCAGTATGCTTTTTTAACATTTTAAGGAATACTCAGTTTTTTTCAAGCTTACCTCTGTCTGCCTTATCTGTACATGCAGCAGATGGAGATTAGCTTGAAAAATGCTGAAGTGCTCCTTTAAGGCTCTTCATATTATTCATGCAACCACAGCACATAATATATGTACTACGTTACATACAGAAAATAACTTCATCCTTCTGCATTAGCCCACTTTTACAGTTCAAATATACATGTACAGAAGCACTTAGTTCAAACCCAACTTTATTTCCAGGGTGAATCAACACAACTTATATTTTTGTAACTTTTCAACTTTTTTTGTATTGAAAGGCCAAACAAATAAACAACAACAAAAAAACACTCAAAAGGACACGTTTGATCTTGCCTGTCGCTTTGCGGCCTTTGTGAGGAAAAATATCTGATAGTATTCAACAGGTAAGAAAGCAGACAACATAAAAAATGAAATATCAAAATTAAGGTCAGACATTTTTGTAAACTTATTGTACACATTGTTTTTTTTGGAAAGGTAACAGTTTATGTCATGCAAAATTAGTAAGAACAACACAAAAGCAATGAGTTCTCTCTTTGTAAATAGTTTGAGCACACCTAGTGGTCATCTTTACAATGGACTCTGTACAACAAAGAAGATAGCTTTTAGCCTTCATCTCTAGCATATTCTGTGTAAGAGGTTATGTGTAATATAGACATGGACAGCACCAAATCATTCACAGATACAGTCTTCTTCAAACAAAACATAATATATATGGGAGCTCGACTGGATTCATCATGTTTTTAAAGTGTCGGGAACTGCAGGCCAGTTTATTAATGTTGTAAAAAGCGTTCAAATATTTAAACACAAATTTTGCACAATACATTTTCATTGGTTGTGACTGGAACTTTAAAGGGAGTTCAATAACAATGTGGACTAAAAGGATTCAATTAAACAATTTCACTGAAATACTTGGCCTGGAAAATGCAATGTTTTCTCAGCGATAGAGAGCAACACATTTCTGTAACTTTAAGTAAGTGTGTGTGTGTGTGTGTGTGTGTGTGTGTGTGTATGTGTGTATATACATGTACACACACACACACACACACACACACATATACATATATATATATATATATATATATCACACACAGAGACACACACAGTACTGCGCAAATGGTTTAGGCAACTTAGAAAAATACATTTAAATCTGATCAGTAAACATTTATTTGCTCAGAGAAACATTAATGTTACCATAAATACAAATAACTGTATATGTTCGGGAGAAATCTGGAACAAAACTTTGTTCAAACTGTGTAGCTTTTTTTAAGTAACAAATTCTTGTTACTTCTTACTGTATTTATATTGAACAGCATTTCTTCTTATAATATTTGGTGTTTATACAAGCACAAACACATAAATGGCTTTAAATAATGTGTTTAGATGCCTAAGACTTTTGCACAGTACTGTATATGTTTTACCTCAGAAAAGATGTTTGATGTCTGACATGTTAAAAAAAAATGGAGCTTTTTTCAAAATTTTATAAAACACAGGACGTAACCCTAAACATAAAAAATTTCCAGTTCTAGGTTTCATCTCACAAGAGTTTTTCCATGAAAGGTTCAGACAAACACATCATAAGAAACAGGGACTCGCTTAGTAGAAATGCTACATTACTATTAAAGGGTGAAGTACTGTCATTTTTAAACTAATGAAACGGAACAGTTTCTATTTTCTTTCACCAACTGAAAACACTCAAAACCTTACAAATTAGAGACAGTAAAGGTAAACAGTACACAGCAGTGTAACAATGTTTTAAGTATAAAAGTTGTAGTAAAACATGAGTTATGTACATTGTTGACGAATATATGCAAGCCTTGAGTGAGGCAAGATTACTAACCTGCTATATTTAAATAAGTTAGAGAATCCAGGCCTGCAGACCATTTGGATGTAAATTTAAAACTAACTTCAATCACTGGCAAGCTTGTAGCTGCAAAGGCGCGCCAGTTAAAAGCCCAGTGAAAAAGCCCGACAACTTTTGTTCTTAACCTTTTGCTTTTCATTTTCCAATGTAAATGAAGGTCTTTTCCTCAACATACCACTCCTGACTTGACAAAAACACTGAGCAGAACAGCTCACTTCACCGGGAAATTGCCTGATCAGGCTGGTAACATCTTTCTTTTTTTGATGTCAAGCACAACATTCTCCATAAGTCCATATTTCTCTAATATTCTCAAGCCTGAGATTAAAAGGAGAGTGTTTCAGGAGAATCCACTCTCCCATACATACAATAGCTGTATTAGGACTTCATGTTAAGCTGAAAGTTATGAACTGGTCCCCTACATTTGTATATAGCTCAGGATTGTGGCTTATTCATTTGGAAATAATCTTCTGCATGGCTAACTACTATTTTGGTGTGTTTACAAACACAACGTACCACAATGAAAATCTCAGAAAGACAGAAAAGCTGTTGTTGATTTGCATAGAATTCTTCATCTACCAAAGGATGCAAATGTAACACTGAAGACACTTACAGGTGATGTGAGCCTGAGCAATGGTTTGTTTTCATACCTTCATGATTTTTTTTTCTTACAAAAATGAAACACACTCCTGACTTCTGAGTCGGCAAAATGGAATTAAAAAACCCACATCTGTAACAAATCTCCAGAAATTTGTCTAGAAAAAATGCCTTTAAGGCATCGTATAACTTTATAACTAGTACAAATAAAAACAGAAATGTAAAAAAAGAAGCTGGTAACAGAAAACAGTCTGCAAAATGTTTTTTTTGTGAACAGTGGTGGTAGGACGTATTTGGAGATTGCTTTTATGCTTCAAACCTCTTTGGGAAGAGCACGGGGGCCACCAGGGTCCACATGTAGAGAGCGAGACACACCCAGCAAGATGCCATCTTGATCCAGAAAATGGACCAGCTCCCTTCCAACAGCCTCTCGATCTTAGCGTCCTCATAGCTGCAGAAAAGCACAGATTACTCACAGATTAGGAATCAGCTCATATATGTCAATAATGCACAGCCATTGATTTAATACAGGGTACAAATCTCAAAGTCAGTTCTGATGAACATACAATATGTTTAATACAAATGAGAAAGCTCTCTTTGTCAGTCTGCAGTGACTTAACGTTAAAATCTGACCAGATTTACTTGAAGAAAACAATGTACACCACCAATCAAACGTTTGCACCCGTTTCCAATAAAATAAAACTAATTTTGTTGCAGATACATGTAGAAAATGATTCCGTTATGACACTACTACTCTGCAACTTCATGTGTTTCAATGAATATGTAGGACACTGGAACAAAGAAATGTGACGTGTGCAGTATGATAGTTAGAGCTGTAGATAAATCCTTAATGACTGAGAAACTGTATAACACTGAGAAAGAAGCTTTCAGCTGTTTAAGCACCTTTTCAGTATGTGATTTTAACAGTATAGTTTGGAAACCTGTCAAATTATTATTATTATTATTATTATTAAAAACTATAAGCAAAGTCTGTTCTTTGCAACACTCAACATAAATACACATACAATATTAGCAAACAAAGTTTTTATGTTAACAAACCGCCTGTAGGTTTTTATCTTACTTAATTCAAAAACAGCACCTAGAAAATTCAGATTTTAAGAACACAAGGTGCCCCCAAAGTTTTTGATGGACAGTGTATAATGAACTACACTTGGAAGATACAGTAAAATTAGACAAAAGACTACTGTCTGCAGATACTGCGGTAAATTATATCATCGTGACCCAAATTCAGTACTACTAGCCTTACACTACAGCTTGCATTTTCCCCTGATGGGAATATAATTACCATCAATTATTATGAGTTTGTTTGGTTGGAAATCAAAATATTGCCAAACTGGTGCTTTAGTACCCTTCTCTCAGTCAAGCTCGTCCTTTTTACTCTACAACAAAGTAGAGCTCATGTACTGTTTCTGCGTTTACTTTGCATGTATCCCAGCATTCTCTGCCAGACTGAAAATCTACATTGAAATCTATCCAAGTGGCATTCAAAATATGTATGTGTCTAGTTAATTAGTCTGTGATGTGCAGTTTGTGTCGTATATAATTAAGTACAACTTTTCTATTGTAAATATTTTTGAACTAATTGTAGATTAGAGTGATTCTAATCTACAGGAAATGCTTAAATAAAGCTGAATGAAAAACAATATCGCACTGCACATGAACGACAAAAAAAGAACAATAATTTGCATTATATTGGCACTTATTTTCTTCATCACAACATTCAATAATATCAATTATCGATGAAAGGCTGGAAAGAACAACAGCTATTTTCAGAACACAAAGGAATACATTCAGGATAAGAATCAGGAAATCATTCAAGACGGTATTTCCGAGCTCAAATCCAGGATGGCCCAGGTTTAATCCACAACAAATTATCCTTAATTCCTCAAATAATTCCTTCATAAAAACAAATCAGAGACCATGGAAAAACACAGGGAAGAACACAAAACTACGACTGGAACATGGAACTTAAACCTCAATGAAATTACAGTTTTTAAAGCAATATTTCCTGGAACCAGTTTGTGACTTGGCTCTACACACTGACAGTGACTTGAGTAACTAAACACTAATGACAACCAACATTTAATGAAAAGCAAATGATTCAGATTCATTTCTCAGGATTAAATCTGACAGCCTAACACCTGAGGAAATGAAATCATACTGAATTCAGAGAGAATCAAACATCCAGTATTTATTGATACAACAAAATTTGTAGTGAATGGGTATGTTCAGTGTGGACTGATGGAATGGAAATTAAATGCCTTACTGGAACCAGTTTGTGGAGGTCATCATGACATAGAGAGAGCCAAGGAAGAAGACAAAGTGGAAGTAGGCGTAGCTGTAGACGGTGCCCTCTCGCTCATCATAAATAACGTTCTGTCCTCCTGAAGTCTTCTCCTCATCGTCATAGTCATCTGAAACAGGTCGAGTGCTTTAACTATGCAGTAACCACGCATGACCACCAGGAGGCTCCATCAAGCTTTCAAGACACATAACTGGCTCATATTCTTTAACTGCACTTTGTTTTACCACGTTTTATTTATTCATTCTTACCTCCACTATCACTGCAACAGAAGCAGCAGCGTGCTCTCTGAAAGGATCAGAAAAAGAAAAGCATAAAATGAAAATCACATCTAAAAATCCAAAAGACTATGCAATGATATATCAGCACTGTGGGACTGATTACGCCATTAGATGCCATATTAATGTTAACTTTTCATAATCCACATTGTGTCCAATACTGTTTCTGAGCATGTGCACACAAGCAGAACTGGAAGTCCAAAGTGAAAAAATCCAAACTTTACACTCTACTTGTACAAACTGAATGAAATAAAACTTTCAACATCATTTATCATGCTTAGCATCTGTTCACTTCTTCCTCTGAGCTGAGCTGAACTCGATATTGTGACGGTTTTATGGCTCTATCAAAAGGGTATTACTTTTTTGGTGGAAGGAATTCACAGTACTAAAGCACATCTTTTTCCATACAATGTTTGGGGCTTTCCTTTTTTGTTCATTTTGAAGAACTGCTGGATAAAAGCAACAGAATTTGCAATAACACACTACCTCTCATGTTCTATTGCTTAAAAAAATGCAACATCTAGCTGAGACATGTGATTAAAAGAGATGGGAAAATTAAAAGGCAGAAGGAGCGGCTTTTTTGTGTAGGCATTAAAGGAATAGTTTGGCGAAAAATCAAATGTACCCAATTTTCGACTCACACCAGATGTAGTCGATTAGCCAAGACCTGCTTGGAGTCCACATTTTGTCTCTCTAGTTTAGAACTAGAACTACGATGCTAACGTCGCTAGCAAACCCTAGAACTCAGTCACCTAAATAGCCCAAATTGTTTCAACAAAACTTCTCTCAACCCGCATCCAGGTCTTCATTAAGGTCATGGAAACTTAAGGTGGTTTAGATAGTACGCCTTATAAATATAAACAAAACTTCACCGCTGTGGGCAGTCATTTCAGATAACACCAGGCCACTGTCACAAACACTGATTGTAGGTCAGCACTGCTACTCATGAGTTGGTTTGTGGTGACTGCGCACAGTTTTGTTTATGTTTTTGTGATCAACTTTTTATTGCGTTTTGTTTATTTTTACAGTTCACAGACAGAATCTGTGATAAACCACATTGAGAAGCCTGTGCAACCTTAATAAAAGACCTGGATGCAGTTTGAGCGTCGTGAGAGACGTTTTGGGGGAAGTATTTATACAGAAACAACTTTGGCTATCTGGGGGAACTACTGACTAGTGTTTGTTAGCAATGTTAGATTTGTGGCTCCAGTGCTAAACAAAAGAAGCAAACTTTTAACTCTGAGCGCGTCTTGGCTGATTGTATTCATCTGTCGTGAGGGGAAAATTGCGTAAAATCAATTTTTAGCCTGAACATTCCATTAAATGGTTAAAAAGGAGACAATTTACCTCATTTTCAGGCACAGAATTTCTGTACACTCGCAAAGCTGCTGAGCTTCTCTTTGTGGTGGAAGTCAAACTGCATAGAGAGAGGGGGAGGAGAAAGAGAGAGAATGAGACCAATTATGACATTATTATTACTGATAACTGACTATTCACTCAAATGGAGGACATTTTTGTTTTCTTCTACTTGGTCAAAACATTAGGTCTGATAACCTGCAGTGCTGGGAGAAGAGCTAGACTGGCAGGACTAAACCGCTCATCTCAGCAATTTCTGCTCAATCTGCTATTAATGCTAAAGCTCCCTCTGGCTCAAGTGTTTCCTGGAACTCTATATAATGGCACTGGTTGAAAGTACTCTTTCTGCTGAAGTATACTTCCCTCTGCATCGCTGCATTTTGTGGGAGTTGGAAAACGTGAAGGAAAAATCATTTCAAGTTCAGCCATGGCTCTGAATCATATGGCTGACAATATATGCATGTCACCAGCAATAACATCTGCCTTTAAATATGCTCTCAGGCATGGGAGAGACAGCTTCAGCAGACATGTCTGCACTTGATGGGAAACATATGTGAGGCTCCTGCAGTGTGTGAGAGCTAAATGAAGAAGGCTTTAATCTTCCCTTCAGTTGCACCAAGGCTATGTGCTTTTATGTCCAAATGAACACAGTGGCATAACCAGATAATTGCATGTTTGTGGCACTTTTGGGGCCAGTCTATTCACACACCCTTTTAAATGACCTGGTTTGGCTGAGAGGGGATTCGCTTCAACGACAAGAAATACAAGGGTGTCCTTGTAGGGGTGGAAAGAGAGAACGCGGGAAAAATGCAAAAGTGTAAGACTATAAATTACAATTATTCCTAATCAATTACTTTATTGACTATTATTAGATTATTTGTCTAATCTAACTATTAGTCTTGTTTGGTTCCTCTTCCTTTGCCGCCACCATCAATCAAATTTACACCTGAACATCAAAAGTATGTCTGAATGACTATGTAAGTTTTGTGGATTTGGAGACCTCTCTGGTAGAAATGTGTAATTTGCTTGCAATGTGTGGAAGAAAATTTTGCAATGTCGTTTGTGCTTCAGACCCCTTAATGTTGATGTTTGTGAGTGCCCTGAAAAAGTATTCAAAAAGGACTCAAAACCTGGTGAAGTACGTGTCTTCTGAGGATGACAGTGAATTATCTACTATTGTCATCAGATCATCATCAGTATAATGTTGATTTTGCATTTGAGACCTAAACATCAAGCCAAATCTTCCTTTTTAGCTTCCTTGGATGTTAATACGCACAGATGTATAACGCGGTCTGAAAACTCCTGTGAAATCTGACTCTTCATCTCTGACTTTTAAATGATTATTTCAGTCTTTACAGGCCGAGTGTGGGTTAAGTTGATTGTACATTATTGAGAGTGCTGGTGGGGGTTAAGTTGATTGTACGATATTGAGAGTGCTGGTGTGGGTTAAGTTGTCTGTGTGATATTGAGAGTGCTGGTGGGGGTTAAGTTGATTGTATGATATTGAGAGTGTTGGTGTGGGTTAAGTTGTCTGTGTGATATTGAGAGTGCTGGTGTGGGTTAAGTTGATTGTATGATATTGAGTGTGCTGGTGGGGGTTAAGTTGTCTGTGTGATATTGAGAGTGCTGGTGTGGGTTAAGTTGATTGTATGATATTGAGAGTGTTGGTGTGGGTTAAGTTGATTGTATGATATTGAGTGTGCTGGTGTGGGTTAAGCTGATTGTATGATATTGAGCGTGCTGGTGTGGGTTAAGTTGATTGTATGATATTGAGAGTGCTGGTGTGGGTTGAGTTGATTGTATGATATTGAGAGTGTTGGTGTGGGTTAAGTTGATTGTATGATATTGAGAGTGTTGGTGTGGGTTAAGTTGATTGTATGATATTGAGAGTGCTGGTGTGGGTTAAGTTGTCTGTGTGATATTGAGAGTGTTGGTGTGAGTGAAGTTGATTGTATGATATTGAGAGTGTTGGTGTGGGTTAAGTTGATTGTATGATATTGAGAGTGTTGGTGTGAGTGAAGTTGATTGTATGATATTGAGAGTGCTGGTGTGGGTTAAGTTGATTGTATGATATTGAGAGTGCTGGTGTGGGTCAAGTTGATTGTATGATATTGAGTGTGCTGGTGTGGGTTAGGTTGTCTGTGTGATATTGAGAGTGTTGGTGTGGGTTAAGTTGTCTGTGTGATATTGAGAGTGTTGGTGTGGGTTAAATTGTCTGTGTGATATTGAGAGTGTTGGTGTGGGTTAAATTGTCTGTGTGATATTGAGAGTGTTGGTGTGGGTTAAGTTGTCTGTGTGATATTGAGAGTGTTGGTGTGGGTTAAGTTGATTGTATGATATTGAGAGTGCTGGTGTGGGTTAAGTTGATTGTACATTATTGAGAGTGCTGGTGTGGGTTAAGTTGATTGTATGATATTGAGAGCGTTGGTGTGGGTTAAGTTGTCTGTGTGATATTGAGTGTGCTGGTGTGGGTTAAGTTGATTGTATGATATTGAGAGTGCTGGTGTGGGTTAAGTTGATTGTATGATATTGAGAGTGTTGGTGTGAGTGAAGTTGATTGTATGATATTGAGAGTGCTGGTGTGGGTTAAGTTGATTGTATGATATTGAGAGTGTTGGTGTGAGTGAAGTTGATTGTATGATATTGAGAGTGTTGGTGTGGGTTAAGTTGATTGTACATTATTGAGCGTGCTGGTGTGGGTTAAGTTGTCTGTGTGATATTGAGAGTGTTGGTGTGAGTGAAGTTGATTGTATGATATTGAGAGTGCTGGTGTGAGTGAAGTTGATTGTATGATATTGAGAGTGCTGGTGTGGGTTAAGTTGATTGTACATTATTGAGTGTGCTGGTGTGGGTTAAGTTGATTGCATGATATTGAGAGTGATGATGTGGGTTAAGTTGTCTGTGTGATATTGAGAGTGCTGGTGTGGGTTAAGTTGATTGTATGATATTGAGAGTGTTGGTGTGAGTGAAGTTGATTGTATGATATTGAGAGTGCTGGTGTGGGTTAAGTTGATTGTACATTATTGAGAGTGCTGGTGTGGGTTAAGTTGTCTGTGTGATATTGAGCGTGCTGGTGTGGGTTAAGTTGATTGTACATTATTGAGAGTGCTGGTGTGGGTTAAGTTGATTGTATGATATTGAGAGCGTGGTGGGTTAAGTTGTCTGTGTGATATTGAGTGTGCTGGTGTGGGTTAAGTTGATTGTATGATATTGAGAGTGCTGGTGTGGGTTAAGTTGTCTGTGTGATATTGAGTGTGCTGGTGTGGGTTAAGTTGATTGTATGATATTGAGAGTGTTGGTGTGGGTTAAGTTGTCTGTGTGATATTGAGAGTGCTGGTGTGGGTTAAGTTGATTGTATGATATTGAGAGTGTTGGTGTGGGTTAAGTTGTCTGTGTGATATTGAGAGTGCTGGTGTGGGTTAAGTGTCTGTGTATTGAGGTGTGTGGGTTAAGTTGATTGTACATTATTGAGTGTGCTGGTGTGGGTTAAGTTGTCTGTGTGATATTGAGAGTGCTGGTGTGGGTTAAGTTGATTGTATGATATTGAGAGTGTTGGTGTGGGTGAAGTTGATTGTACATTATTGAGTGTGTTGGTGTGGGTTAAGTTGATAAAATGAAAAGAAGAATTTAATTTAAATACCAGGAGTAAAGCACACAGCAGAACAAAATTGTTGTTCCCACACCCTTCACTATCTTGCGGTCACTCTCTGAGTTGGAGTTGTAGGAAAAGACGCAGACTGCAACGTTTGTTCCATTTTGCTCCACCACTGAGAGAGAGAGAGAGGGAGAGAGAGAGAGAAGTGGAAATAAGAGTTAATAGGGAAGGAAAGTGGTGTAAATCAGGGTGTGGTAAAGTGGTTCTGAAAAACATTTTAGAAAGCTACTGTGCAATAAAGGTTTTGACCTAAGCTGCCTTGAGGGCCCTGGCTTCTTAGATGATACTCTCCAGTGTAAAACCACATACACACCCAGAGAGAAAGAGAGCAAAATACACAGCAAAACAAGCTGCACTTACTTTCAACAGGTTTGCTGGCCAGTGCGGAGAAGGTGAGGTACATGACGTAGACGCTGATAATAGCAGGCTGGAGCAGGCCTGAGGTGGGCTGGACTGTAAAGAGAACAACACAACAAACACGAGTCTGATTAGCAAAAACAAAACACAGAGCACACATTCCGGGGTTTGTCCTTGTACACAAGACCTCAGGTATGCCTCCGCTTTCTTCACCTTCACAGTGTTTATACTATATTTTTATCACAGTGATCACCATAAGTTTCCGCTCTGTACAGTTCCAACTACTGTTTGGAGATTTACCTAAATAATGATTTGACAATTTTCTTTCCTAAACTATTAAAATCATACACTTCACTTATTTTGCCCTAAAGGTGGTTTAAACACCTGAAAGTTTTCACCGCAGATGAGTGCTGACATCACAACAAGAGGTTCAAATGTGTAGGGGGAGGGTATTATTCCCAAAGAGGGATTTTTATCAGTTGTCTCTTCAGTTTTGCTGTTTTTGCAAAGAAAACTTGCAAGATCTAAACAGTTCAATACTCTATATGCCAAGTTGCAGCAATCTGACAAATAATATGCTCTATGGCTACCAGGTAGCCATTCAGATGATCTTAAAGGGGTACTCTGACAAAATGATAAATTTAACCTTTGCTTCATCTGTTATAAACACACTTACTTGCCTCCTAAAGTGGTGCCACAATAGTTTCTAGGGAAATATTTTCCATCTTAAAGACTAGTGAAACTCCCATCTGATGATGTATCTTGAAGGGTAGGGGAACTTTTGAAAAACCGGAGCCAGTCTGGTAGAATTTTTCCCACTAGCTGGCTAATGCAGAAAATAGTCAGATAGCTAATGTTACTGCTAGAAGGCTGAATATCACATCCACATTTCTTAACCATCCTCATTAGTGGCTGTGCTAGCAGTCAGGAGGTCTTTATTGCCATGGGAGGATTCCTAATGCTTGCATGATGTATTTGCATAAGGAACACTACAGTGAGAGAACACTGACAGACAAGTACACGAAAGCATACAAAATTGTGAACTGTCAAATTGTGATGCTGCGTTGCAGAATATTACATAACATGAGGTAACATTTTAAATGCCACTTTCAGGCTGGAATGCCCTTTTACTGTGAACTTACTAATGTCAAGCAGTTTGTCAGAATCACAATCACATGTCTTTTTAACTGAAGTCTAGGTTTTAAAATGAGGAACAGAACATCTGCTTATGCTGCTGTGCTAATTAGTTGACCCTGAAGTGCGCCAACCACCATTGCAGACACTGGTTTGATTTGCATAGACGGCAGTGTCTTGATCAACTGATACTGCCCTTCTCTAACTACTGCTATGTGCACAGTGCAACAGTTTGACTCTCAAAATCAATTTCACACAATTTTCACTTTACTCCAAATGCGCCCAAGACATGTTAGATGTTGATAGTTTGCTTCTTACTTTTTTGTCTAGAGCTGAAAATGGACAAAAATACAAAAAATTCAAGCTTTAAGTTGGCTGCAATTATTTTAGACATACTATAGTCCACTTTCATAAATAACTATGTTATATTCTGTCAGTAACCACAAAAATAAGTGTATTTGAGATTATTTAACAAGTTGTAGTTTGTGGCACGCGATGATTTAGGTGTACAGTTTGCATGATGCTAATTGATTAGCTACTAGCTCTTACTAGCTACATTAGCCTTGTAGCTCAAGTGCAAAATTGAGAGAAAAAAAAATGATGAGCACCAAACATCTCTGATCAACTTCATTTGGGAAAATGAAGTTTTTACCAAACTATTCTTTTAATTTACTTTCTAAAGACTATTCCTTTAAAAAAGAAACTGCTCAAAGGTTCAAATAATTACTGATTAGTAGGGATGGCTAAATGACTTCTTACTCTTACTACTTTCATGTATGAATGGCCACAGACAAGCTCTTTACATCTGCTCTATCTTGCATTACATCTCCTCTGGGGACTCAGAATAAACAAAGCAGCTAGTCCACACCCACACTGTACATAAACAGTGTCTGTGCCTGAAAAGAGCAAAAAAAAAAGATGTTCTGAACTGCAGATGTGATGGCTCACATGTCTGAACGCAGGGTGAGATGGCCAGCAGTGAGATGACAACGCAGAGACCCGAGTTCACTCCCAGGAAGATCTTGTTGAGAAAGCAGGCCTCGGAATGTGTGTAGAACATGGCCATGAACACCACGGCTCCTACAGCCACGGAAAACAGTACCAGAGTAACAAAGGCCAGAGCCGCGTACCACAGCTTATTATACTCTGCTCCTGACGTCCTGCACAGAGAGAGAGAGCAAGAGAAACATTTCACACTCAGAAGTCTGAGTTACTGTTAACAAAGGCAAGGGGACGTTTTAGATTAATCATTTCTCACTCAAAACTCATTGAAACAAGTAGAGAAATTCTTACATATTTAAATCCAATGTAAATGCAAGGCATTACATAACTATGTTAGGCAGTTACTACGACTGTCAAACGATTACAATAATCAAGTATGATTAACTGTATTCTTTTGAGTAGTTCATTGAGATTGTCGGATTTAATTAAACCTGACTCTGGTATGTATCCCGTTGTGTTACACCACCTATTGAGGATAACTGGTTCTTTCCACTTTGCTATCAGTTTTGTTAGTTTGCTGCTCATTGATTTACCCATAGGTCTCCCAGGAAGACTGTCCAACGGTACACTCCAGTGCTGACGTTACTGATATAACATATAACATCAGCTAAGTGCATGTAAATGATACTTTGAAACAAATGAATAGCATGACAGTAGCTGGAAAAAGCTTTGGTTTCAGCAAAACAGCCATCAATGGAACTTGCCATTTAAAATCTGAATTTGAACGAGAGGGCTACAGTGATGGACATAGCAACAACATGCAATTATCAGGGTTATAGGCTTGAATGGATTGTTTGAAATGTCAAATTAAGAAACTGCATTTACATTAAGCATCTGCATAATATCTAAAGTAGTACTATTATTACATATTTTATTATGACAAATTCATAATATATGCAAGTGCTGTTTGTATACTGGGACTCATTAAGGGCTGAATTAAACAGTGTTGGTGTGTTAGACATGCACAGCAGAATGAGCTGTTTGGCTGTGGCTGTGACAATTCTTCTCTGATGAGCCTGTGGAGTGAAAGAGCCGCCCATCACCCATCACTAACACCACCGACCCCGACCCCCCCACCGCCTGGCAACTCTCCAAGGCCTAGCTCACTGCACACACACATTCACACACAAACACTTGTTTTTATACAATGTCAAGACACAGAGTTGTACATAGACTTATGCTGGTATTCTGTAGTTTCACAAGCTCTATTTTCAAAGGCTCTAACCTAAGAGGAACTGCTTTTTTGCTCACCTGATGACATCTCGTATGACCAAGATCTTTGATACATTTGCACTGAACTCCTTGGAGGAATATATATATATATATATATATATATATATATATATATATATATATATATACTTGCCATATAGCTGCACTTTGTTGCATCTCTTTCTCTTCATACTTTGTTAGCCCCATTTCACCCCGTTCTGCAATGGTCAGGACCAGCACAGAGCAAGTATTATTTAGGTAGAGAATCATTCTCAGTCTAGCAGAGACACTGATGTGGTGGTGGTGGTAGTGTGTTAGTGTTAATGTGTTGCGCTGGTACGAGTGGATCAGACACAGCATGGCTGCTGGAGTTTTTTTTTTAAATAACTGCTGGACTGAGAATAGTCAACCAAACAAAAATATCGAGCCAACAGCGTCCTGTGACCACTGATAAAAGACTAGAGGATGGCCAACACAAACTGTGCAGCAACAGATGAGCTGCTGTCTCTGACTTTACATCTACAAGATGGACCAACAAGGTAGAAGTGCCTACTAGAGTGGACAGTGTTTAAAAACTCCAGCAGAGCTGCTGTGTCTGATCCACTACAGACACCACAAGACAGTACAATAACTACAATATAATAACTATAATAACTATATTATAACTTTGGCATCACCTACTTTTTTGAAAACAAGAAACTCTTGATACTTATTACTTCAAAAATTATTTTTTCTTTTCAGGTCAAAGCTTATGTAAGAAGCACTTTACGTCAGGACCACTTTATCAGTTAGCCCTGTCTTCCTGTTTATCCTACGAAGTTACATTTTTTCCTGTACATATACAAATACACACACACCCACACACACACAGAGTGAAATGTACGGTTTCCCTATGAATTCTGTGTCACATGCTGGCTCTTACAGTACGGCCTGCCCTCCAACAAAATCGCCCATGAGTCAGATTTATTTCTGTCCTTTTGTGCTGAGGGTCTAAGGGTCTGGGTTTGTTTCGAGTTTATTTATCGTGAACTGGAGAGAGGAAACCATGCTCACTGTCTCTACCATGTGCTTCCTCTGGATTGTTTCTCTCTGTATAGCTATCTCTCTCTCTCTCTCTCTCTCTCTCTCACTTTGCCTCCCCCTCCTCATGTCAGCAGCACAAAACAAGGCCTAGTCTGCTTCAGCAGCCCACATTATTTATATACACAGACTAAAGAGAGCTTTCAGGACCACCACTAGAACTTAGCCCTGCTGTGAACGACAGACAACAGAACTCAACTATTCTGTCCAACAAAGCCAAACAGAGAAAAACAGCTTCAAAGTTCTGTTATTGTCCAGCTAAATATGTTGTGGGTATATACAAGACTCGCTACAGCTCCAGCCATCGCACAGATTTGTTCAATTCCATCAGCAGAACAGTGGATTTAACTTACTGAAACAGAATTTAATAACTATCTATTAGCTGAAGCAGGTATTGGATGGTAACTGTACAATACTGGGCCCTGCGATGGACTGGCGACCTGTCCAGGCTGTATCCTGCCTTCCACCCAATGACAGCTGGGATAGGCTCCAGCACCCCACCGCTAAATTATTTTGTTTACAACACTTTACAACTACTTAATCATGCAGAAAATCTGAAAAATCAGTGGAATTCACCTTTAAATACAATTTTCAGTTGGCCTGAGACTTCTGAACAGCATCATACTGCTGCTGTCGGGAGAAAATCTTGTATCTCCAAAATGATAACTTTACAGGAGAAGGAAAAAACCTGCTTTACTTTTAATGTAAGTCAATGGAACCAGACTTTTTTCCCAAGTTGTTTTGGGCAATTTCTTTTGGTCCATTCTTCATGAAATTTAGAGACTATGTAAAGGGCAACAGCCATTTTCAAATTATGTCAAAAACTGACAAAAATGGAGATAAGAGGTTTTCTTCCGACAGCAGCAACATGTGGATACTGAAAGATACAGTGTATGTGTGTAACCTTACACATCGCTCCAACATATCTGGACGGACATCAAGAGACGTGAAGCTGGTTTTCTAAGTTCCACTGTTGAAATGTGGTTAGACTGCACTACACAAAGCTGCTGCTATTTTCACTGGGCTGTCCCGTGTATCAATATATTTTTTTTTGAGACTTTTGTAAAATGATGATTATATTATATTATTATTAGATAGATTAGTTACACAGTCAGTCAGTCACTCTTCCTCTCTCCTCTCTCCCTCTTCTTTAAAAATGGTCTCTTGAAAAAATAATAAGTAAAAACTGCTGACTGTCGTGAAATGCATTAGGAAATCACACAGCTCCCTCTCCCTCTTCCCTCACTGACTCATTCTCTCTCCCATATTTCCTCTCTTCTCTCCCCACTCCACCTCTACTGTAAAAATTACAATAATTAAAAAAAGGAACCCACCACTCCACCCCTGGGTGTTTCTACAGTTAAGTCTCCACACAGTCTATATTATTAGTGTATAGGAGTGAGACCACCCAGACAGCCAACTATGCAATCTTTCTTGCTGTGGAAATTAGAGGTAGCCAACTACATTACACTCCCTCTAGCCTGTGTAATGGATTCCAGTTGTGCTGCCTCAAGTTGGATAGAGGGATGGAAACAGGAAAATGGAATAGAGAAAAGGTTCCAAGAGCCTGACTGGGTTTCCACTGGTGATATAGTATGACAGAGGGAGCTTTATAAAAACAGTGAAATGTTTGGATGTTGCCAGAGACTCAACTTACCAGTTCTGATTCAATCTATGAGCAAACTCAACCAGGAGCATGAGCTGAATGAGGAGGAAGAGGAAACCCCCGGCAGCCCCCACATAACGCCACACTGCAGAAAGACAGAGAGAGGGAGAGAGAACCAGACAGAAAGTATGATTGATAGAGGGAGACAAAAAGAATCAACGAAAGACATACAGAGACAGTAAGAGAGAAAGAGACAAAGAAAGGAAAAAGAGAGAGAGAGAGAGATGGAAATAGTGAGAATGAGTGGGGGGGGGGTGAGAGAGTGAAAGAGAGAAAAAAGAAATAGAGTGAAAGAAACAGAGTAAAAGAGAAAGAAAGAGAAAGAAAGTGGAACACTGAGACATCATTGTGAACTGTTTCTTGATTTCTCTGAATGACAAACAATGGCCAGCTCTCTGTGTTGGTGGCACTTTTCCAGATGACTGCTTGGCTCAGCTGGCAGAAGCTAAATGATATAACATCACAGTAGCCACATAACTCAGAGACACAAGCGAATGACACCGTCTATGAGTCTGAGTAGCAGACATGGGACAGTACAGGATTTCCTGCTGGCCTGAAGATGTCCTCCTGAGCTGAACAACAGGCAGCGGTGCCAAATTATATTTGGGAAAGTTACATGCTGATAAGGAATCCATGTTCGTAAGCTTTTCCACTTTTTTGTTCAATTTTTTTTCAACTGTCTTCACTGAGTCACTGTTATGTTTCTGTTAGAGCTGTTCAATATATCATTAGTTATTTGTCATTATCATAATCAAATATCATCATTATTATATCATATCATTATTTATTTGCAAAATACTGATTCTGCAGTTTGTGCAATTCTAATGTCACAGAAAGCTGCAATGTGCAAAAGAGGCCTCTATCCAATCACAGTGGTTTTTCCTGTTTGCTGGCACATGTTGAATAAACAATGGCATGTTTGTGTCACAGCAAAACGTTAATTAAAAATTAAATAAAAACATGGGCGTTCTCTGGCTCACTGAGTTGTTGAGATTTTTTAATATGGGCTTTTAGTGGTAGAGTTTGACACCCCTGATCTAGACCAATCTTAGCTCCAGATGTGGGTGTTCTGATACATCAAGATATACACATAATCCAAGGAAATAAATCAGGTTTGATTCCAATGCAATGAAAATAGTTGATGCCATAAAAAGTTGAGCTGAGATTCTTACAGGGTCACATTCTCACATGCAGAACTGCAAATGTTAAAAGCTGATGTTGAAAAACGTTGACACCATACAAACGTTTATTCGCTATAGTTAGGTCTCCGTGTTCAGCCTGGTAACCTGGTATTTTAGCCAACGTTTAGTAGATAAATTGGCTGATGAGAGATACAAGGTAGAGAGAAACAAAGTGGCGACACAGTGTAATGTCTTCTGTCTGTATATCATTTTACTCCTACTGTTAGTATGAAACTCAAGTGCCTTTGTGTGCCCCAGACATTACTGAGACATCTGAAGCAACTTAGATCAGCTAGCCATGAGAGCTGAAGTTAGAAAAGATATTTCTGTTCTCAATGTCAAGTCGACAAGCAACAATGCGACAGCAACAATGTGAAACTGACAATGTTTCCACATTATCCAGTGAGCAGAAAATAATTTACCTCATGTAGAAGATGACTGCTCCTCATCCAACGTTAAACACTGGCTCCAGCATTAGCTCATGAACTTTAATCTACAATATCTAAAATATTTCCTTTCACTTTTGAAAGACTGAGGCAATGCGCTTAATAAAAATAATCACATTTACAAAAGTACTCTGCTTCCTTTGTGCAACTGAATTTGCTGTAATGCCATGTTGGATAAATTGACTCACAAAGTAGTGCTACACTGTAGTTACAATAGTTCTCAGACTTAAAAAATAATTTTCAAAAGTTACCATTCAGAATGTACCTAAATAAGTTCATGGAGTAGTCTTCTTTTGGTTTCATGTCATCCAGGGCTGGGCAATATGATAATATATATCATTACCATGATCAATTATGCCACATTATGTCACAACATTCTCTTTTGAACGTATCATGGATATTGCCAGTACTGAAACAACACTCCCCAGCTCCATGCAAATCGAGGTCATAGTTTTTAACAGTATTATTTAAATATGGCACTCCTTTGTCTGTTCCAACTTATCAGATAATAGGAAAAATAAAATATCGAGACATATTGTGAAGCATGAAAACTTCTTGAAGTATCGTGATATTATATTTTTGCCATATCGCCCAAATCTAATGTCAGCTACCTAAATTCATTTAATAAAATAACATCTTCCTCTCCAGCCTAACTAAAGACTGCACGTTTACCCATACCACTAAACAGGCGAGTGGCAACAGAGAGCAATATAATCGCAAGTCTACTAGTCTTTGGTACATATTATACTGCCTTAGCTTCAATTACGTTACTTTCCACTTACAATCTTAAATAGCTTCCATGAGGAAAGAAAATACTTGAGATCTAAAAAATTGAGCAGAGGTTTTTAAGTAAAACCTCTCTTAGGGTGTGGCTGGTCAAAGATCGAGCAACCTTGAAAGGGGTGTCACAAGATCTCAATTCTTTCCCAGGACCCTGAGAATCACTTTAGTACAGCCTATTCAGTTCACAACAGGTCTTGTCTTCAAAGCACATGAAAAGAAACAAGCCACACAAGGGAAACAATAGCTAGGGAGTATGAAGAGGCGTTAAGAGAGAGATAAAAAGCAAAGAAGAAGAAAAGCTGTACTATACCTTCAAGAAACTTTTGTTCATCTGGTAGGAAGAAGCCTCCTGCACAGCAGGCCAGCAAAGCCACAAACTTGAAAAACCAGAATCTGAATGGACAAAAAACAAAGAATTTGAGAACTAGTCAGAAACTAGGGCACACATTGCTAGTGGTCTTGGCCCTGACTTGGGCTCAGGCAGCCAATTTAAGGGGAAATGTGCAGACCAAGGTACTTCACGATCCAAACTGCCTGGTTTTACTTAATGAGAACACACAAGTTTGTAAATGATTCCCATAACACTTTCTTGGACATTTTTGTGTCCTGTTTTATTTGGAACAAGACTTCCTGTTTACTACACTAACATTTTACTAGTAGGGCAACTCCAGAAAGTTTAATGGCTTTTGCCATTTCTGATCTGGAGGCCTGTTTTCAGGCCGTGTGCATTCCTCCACTTCTGCTGTGCCATTCACTTCCCCTTCTCCTCCACACCATTTGCATACAACACAAAGATCTGATTATTGCAACCTGAAGAGCTCTCGTTGGGGGCTAAACCATCGCGCTTGAGGAGAATAAAGCTCACCTCCCGATGCAATTTCCTCCGGACAGGGCTTTTAATTAATACCCCTATTCAGTGCAACAGGAGTGGGCGGATAATGGAGTTTAAGGAGGAGCACTCAGCAGAACAGAACTCATGGGGAGCTGGATGAAGGCAGCCAGCCAAACGATACACAGCCATGTAGACCTCCAGTGAACCTGGGATGGCTGCATAATCCCCCCCACAGAGCATGAGGCCCAGAGAGAAAAGGCATGGAAAAACAAGGAGAGTTTATAGAGAAAACAAGGCCAGAGAGGTAGAGAAGTAATCCAGCCCAAAATTTTGAATACAGTGTCCAATTTGACCTGCAGCACCAAGTTGTCTGACCGTATTTTGACCTGACCACCACCAACAGGACACCTAATAAAACTCCATATTCCTAATGACAGCACAGCTTCAGTCCTAATCATTCTTAATGATTCTGAAGGTAGGTTCATTCTTACTGTGTACCATGAGAAATGATTTCCAGACGTCTGATGAGCATCCTCTTGGCTGCAGTAAACTGTCCTGACATGATTGCCTGTTTTACTTTCATTTTCGCACACATGTGGGCCTTGAGGATCTCTGTTCCAACATCAACTCCAACATGCCAGATAAAAAAATTATTTAAAGTAATAAAAGTAGTGAAGGAAAAAAAAACTAAAAAGGGTAAATGCAGACCCATCAAAATGTGGGAAACCAGCCAAGAAATGCCAGAACTTGAAATTTAAACCCAACTCAAGCCCAACAAATATGAGAAATAATGTTTAGATGATGAAAATGTGTTATTTTGATTAGGGATGCATGATCAGAATCCGAACCAAACATGCGACAGGCAATATTTATTATGTTTACTTTGGCCGATTTGTGATTCAATTCGTAAATAATGGGAGGAATGTATGTGCACTCACACTATATTTGAATGCTGCTGCTACAGCCACACAAAAATGTTGCAGCATAAATATGTGCTAAATAGCTAGGTGCCTCTCAGTTTTGATGTACCACTGTATTTGATTCATGTTATTTAAAGACACACTACATAAATTTGGGGGGTTTGGCGGAAATGTGTAACTGCACGCAACGTCAGTTGTACTTCGGAAGGAATATTAAAAAGAGAACTGAGATGTGGGTGAATTATTGTCAATGATAACTATCATCATATCATCATCAGTATAATGTTGATTTTACACCAAAGACCTAAACGTTAAGCTGGACCTTCTTTTTGAGGCTGCGTGCATGACGTAAATACATAAAGACCTGACTTAGTAATGCTACTTCTTTCCATTTTAGCAAGAAAAATTGTGCAGCTTAAAGAGGCAACTGATTTTGAATTTGATATAGTAGATAATGTTCATAATATAATTTGTATTGCTAGTAGACTTTTTCTAATAGAAAGAACTGGAAATGTGCTAGTATGTTTCATGTGTTCACAGCTTCAGGTTGGAGAAAAATGCTAATAAAAATCAACCAAAAAAAATCTGCCAATTATACTGTAGAGAAATTGGAATAGGTCTTAACTAAGCGCTTCTCAAACTGGTCCTCAAGGCCACATTTTTGGTCTATCATAATGTTTTGGGAGTTAGGGTTGAGTGAAAAGGTGGACCTCCTGGGGGCCACGAGGACTGGTCTGAGAACCACTAGTTTCGCTAAATATTCTAAGCTCTACTAGAAGGGAGTTTTGGATGGATGGATGGGTGACTTACCCGTTATGGATGGCCGCCCGGCACCCTGTGCTGGTTCGCACTCGTAAGGTGAACACGGAGAAGAAGAAGAAGAAGCAGGCCATTCCAAAGCAGACTTTGTACACAGCAGAGTAGCCCACTAGGGCACTGCAGTTTTCTCCCGCACTCAGCGTTTTGCATATATCCTGGTACATTGGAACCTAAAAAAGAACAATGAAGAAACTGAATTATTGTCTGTAAGGAACACAAATAGTTACAGCTACTAACAGCCTGAGGGTAAGCCCAAACCTTAACAAAAACAGAATCTGCTCGTCTAAATGAAATGTTTGTGTTTGGAGAACACACTCTTTATACTTCACTGGACATAGGGAGTATTATGTAATGCTCTTGTTGCAATGGTATAAACAATTTGCCATAAAACTAACAAGAACATAGTTTAAAGGTTAGCTCATACTAAAATTCTTCAACAGTCTAATTACACTAAACTACTACAGGCCTGATTTTAACCAGAATTAGCAGGTCATGCACTATGTAAGCAGTCACAAGATTCTGTTTTAGGTTTAATTTGATGAAGAGGTCACTGATAGAGCATGACCAAGGCACTGAGTCACTGGTCTTCTAAAGTATACAGAGAAAACTCTGACCAACGTAAAACTGAACTCCAAAAAGCTAGCAGATAAGAGGCTATAAATGAGACCATTTAACCTTCACAGTTCTCAATCTGATAGGTGAATATTTTCCAACACACAAAGCCTGCCCAGGTCTGTCCACAGCAAACAAGACTTGTTTTGACTTGCAAACAAGAATGGGGATGAATAAATAATGACCCTTTGATCAGGGACTTTAGGGATTTCCAGTAATACTGCACTACACTGTGAATGTGAAACAAAAGCGACGACCATTCATTTGATTCCTCTTTGAATAACAAGAACAACCAAACATTTTCTTGTGTATATAAAAAGCTGAACTGGGCTCAGACCTATATTTTAGTTTTTTTCCTTTGTGGCTTGTGAAATCATTCTTAAGAAGAGGGCGAGGAATGTTCCTAATTGTATATTCAGTTTCCATTTAGACTGCCATGTATGACCTATGTTACCATGACACCGAGGGCCTTTAGGGTTATTTTCAGACATAAGAATTAAGGAGCTGTTTGTTTTTCTTCAGAGTGCAGAGCAAAGATCTCCCTGGCATTGCTACCGTGTCCTGATCTGTACATTTAGGACTAGGGCCGTCACGATTACTCAATTAATCGATTAAAAACAAATCATTAACATTTATCTTCTCAATTAAACAGCACTAATTACTTAACAATTTGTCTGACACATTTATTATTATTATTATTATTATGTTTTTTTTAATAAAGCATTTTAAATGCTTATTCTTTTTCAGATTATATGTTCTGAAATCTATAATCTCAAATCTAATCTGAATTAATTTGGAAAAGTCTATGTATGTCTTTAGATTTGTTCCTGTCCAGTTCAGTTTTTATTTTTGGCCTTTTTCAAAACCCTGATCACTTTGTCAAAATAGCCTGCAGATTACTCTAATACTAATGTATCCAATAGTGATAGCCCTGTTCTGGACACATGAACTTCTGATATCACAAAGAAGAATTTTCTCAGTTAGCCAGATAACTTAAACTGCCCATATCCTATATGATTATTGTGTTTTTTGGGCTGAAGTCCACTCATAAATTTTGTGAGGTGTTAAACAGTCACGATTCTTTTTTACATGACCATTTTCCAACTTCTTTTTCTCCACATTAGAATCAAACAGGCTGTTTTTGTTACTGTGCCTTTAAGACTCACAATACGCTTGTCTACCATTTTAAATCTCTATAGATAAGAGTGTCTGCTAAAAACCTAAATGTAATGTTTATAGTTCTATGTAGTAGAACTATTTACACAGTCCATCCCTGATTTCGCACAAAAAATTCAAAGAGGAAGGCTGTCTGTGCAGGGCAAAGGGATCTGGACGACCACCAGTATCGGAAGATATTACATTTGTGAAGCTTTGTGAAATTGGTTGCAAAATCTACATCCCTCTGAATTTCTTGTTCGAATTTTGATAAATAAATCTTGTATTGTTCAACATGAAGCCTATTTCATTTTGTATGCCCAGGACATGTAGTTACTCAGATATTCACATCTCAAATGATGTCAATTTTTTTGGGACACGCTGTACTTTTTTTTGTACAGTAAACATTAACATCAGTGATATCACTGCTCAAACCCTGAAGTAATTCAACACTGTCATGTCAGTTAGATTACACAGGAATACAGCAAAATATTTCATTTCTATTTTCATACAGTGACATCACATGAGGCAGACTGAATAGGTGACCATATGTGCTGTTTTTCACAACATCACAAAACCAGTGAATTCAAAACAGGATGTGTTTGCAGCTTAAGCCGTTTTCACACCTACCTTGCCTGCTTTACTTTGGTCCTTTTTGTGATGTGTGACTCCTTTACTGCTAACTGTTTACAGATGCTTGTATCGCTCGTGCAGCATGAGCTGCTGTTAAAATCAGCAGATCAACAATAAAACAATAGCGAAACACTATCTTTGATTTCGGCACATTGTGTAACATCTTTTATCAGCTACCTGATTGGTTTACCGCTTTGAATGCAGCCAATCATAAAGATCAGATATCAAGTAAGGTTTATCGTTATTGCCTTGACTATGATACACAAATATGTTAATTGTTTTTTGGATCAGATGGAAGTAAATGTGAGAGGAACTGAGGCCTTGTATCCTGCAAAATTTCTAACCAGTAAACAAAACACCCACATATGTTCAGTTTCAGTATCAGTTTCCATATATGGAATGAGGAGTGAAAAGTATATTTTGAAACTTTAAAAAATGTTTACATACTACATCAAACTTTCAAAAAAGTGTGGAAAACTTTCCGTTATACGGGTTCTTTAAAAAGTCAAGCCTAAGCAATAAAAGAAGGGGTAATGGGAGTTTAAATTATGGAGTTTTACTGAAAAATAAGGTTTTGTGAAATACCTGCCTGGACAATCATAACTTGACAACCCCAGAAACATCTTTACAAGGTCTAGCCGTTTCTACTTTCTGAGTTAGTCTGAGCTCTTTTGAGGCTTTTCTGAGGGGCGGCCTTGTTGTGGCTGAGCTTGTCTTTTTTAGCCCCTTATTCTCACATGGCATTTACACAGCGGGGAATCAACAGGCCAGCAGTGGGACAAAAAGAAAGGCTTGGCCAGAACACAATAGCTGGGTCCACATTACACACCCTGCTACAGCATTCCAGTATGTCCACAGCTAACACTACCAGTATAGATGGATGACATGCTCAAGTAATAAGCAGCTCCACTGAGAGGAGTAATGGTCCTTTTGGGGTACACTGTGATGTCCAAAACTTTTTGCTTTCAGTGCTGTGCTAATGGTTAATTTACTGAGCTACAACATGCTTTTAGTTTCCTGTGGTGGACTTTTGTGGTTTGGGCTAACGTGCTGGCTGACTGTAGATAATGCCTTCATACGCCTGAAGGCCGTCTCCATCAGCAGTGAGTGTTTTAGAGGCCATCCCTAGCAACACTGTAATTAAACTGTGAAAAACGTCTCTCGTGGCTGAAAGGACTCCGAAGATATTTTCGTTTAACTGACACAAGAATATTTCTCTTTTCAGAGGGACAGAGAATGACTTTGTCTGGTGTGAAACGCTAGGTTTACCCCTTTCTCCTGTTGAAAAGGAAAACGTTAAACAAGCCAGAGGAATAGGACCGTTCTGCTGTGGTTACTAACTGCATGAGCAGAGTTCAACAGAGCTGCAGAAAACCTGCCACAGGCCACAACTGCAGGAACCTATAATCTGTCTTTTACACACACACACACACACACACACACACACAGACTTTATATATATATATATACCACACACATATACATATATGTATACACACACACACACACACACACACACACACACACACACACACACACACACACTAGTTTCTCCTTACTTCTATGTCTGCTGTGTAAAAGGAAATCAAAATCCATGGTAATGACCTGTTGTGTATTAGTGACCATTATTTAGCACATGACTGGGTGCCAAAATGGACATTGTATGTCAAATAAAATAAAAACAAATTAGAACTACGGATTGTAAAAGAAGTCAAAGCCTACATTTTGGAAAAACTGTCCAGTATTTTCAGCGGATCGTCCTAAATTTTATCCATCCAGTAAAAAAACTAAGATTCCATTTCTGATGACAAAATGTTTAGAAATCAGCGTTTTCATATGTCAGCATTTTTTATGAAGTTTAAATTTCTTTTTATCCAAATCAAAGCATTTCTATAAAATGACCGTTTTTGATTGTTTCAGATTAACTGCTACAGACAGGTGCATTGTTGGTGACGAGTGTAGGTAATATGCAGTACTGCTTCACAATAACTGAGAAGATCCGTAGCTGAACTGGTATCAGTCTACCATAGATTGCATCATAAGCATAGCTACCCATCCACTGAATTAAATAAATAAATAAATAAATAAATAAAGTCACTAATCTAGAGTCCATGAATTTTACAGGGCTGGGATATCAAGCTTATGTATCACATATAACAAAAACTTCTATCCACAGTCAAAATGTGATAGAAAAAGCACCCAAGCATCGCGGGCTCAGCATGTGACAAAGTCTACATGGTTGTGCTGAGCTGATGACCTCCTTCAATTCATGACAGAGCAGCAAAACTGTATCTCTCCTCAATCTGTAACTGTTTTTTTAAGGCTTTTTTAATCAGCCGAGTCATATTCGAAGCTGTTGTGAAATACTCTGTCCTTCTGTACTGCGCTCTGATATCCTTCTCAAGCAAGTCCCTTTCACCCTCAACTGCACTTGCAACGCTTGTTTGAAAATATTAGAGAAAGAAGTATGTAATGCGTCGGCTTCTTACTGGGAAGTTTACCTTTGGACTAATGCAGGTGTTTTTTTTTCCAGGTGGTGTTTTGTTGAATGAATTGCTAACAGCACATGCAAATATGGGAAAAGACTGACACGTAAGACAAATGCTAATACAGACTGGTTTCTAAATAAGCAAATATGTTAGTGCAGCACTGTTTGCTCTTAATGTCACAGTAAATCTGTCGGTACATGTTATCAGTTTGGCCCAATGTGCCTTCACTGATCAAATACATTTGGGTAAAGGGGAAAATTGTGTACATATGACTTTTCACTTCACTATTGCTTTAATACAGATACAGTTACAATTTGGTGGGGAGCTGGGAGGGGGCTAGTCTCAGCGTAGACTCGTGGGCGAGACCCAATCTTATAATGAGAACACACAACTCTCATGGTCTTTCCCTGACCGTTCTCGTCTAATGCTTAGATCACGTTTGGCCTTGTGAGACTCGTCTCAGGTTAGAAGAAAACAGACGTAAAATAAGCTGAGAATTAAAAACTCACATGTTCCTTTATTTCCTTCTCTATGGTGGGTGACATCATGATGACGCAGATGACGGTGACCAGCATGAAGTAAAGAGCGTACATGAAGCGCGTCCCCGTGGACTGTTTGATCTTGGGACAACAGCTGCAGCACAGTGAGCAGGCAGCTGAACCGCAGCAGCAGGCCAGCTACAGGACAGAGAGACAGACTTGTTAACAAAGTGCACTTCCTGTTAATGACTGTCATTTAGCCAAAACTGTTGTTTTGCTTTATTGGAAGAGCTTGCAGACAGAGGTTTAGCCATGTGGATTCAATCTTCATAATAATACGGTCTGCTAAAACAAATAAGTGGATAACGTCTAAATGTGTTGTTCTCAAATGAGAGGCTTGGACTGAGTCTATTATCAGCTGAACTAGTCGCCAAATTTGAATGAAGGGTGTTATCTCCTCTTCCAATAAAGCAGGCATACACATACACACACACATACGCACAAAGCTGGGAAGACCCCATTGGTCATTTTCCCTCCTAGCAGCAAAATACGTCCTCCTATTGGACGACACAGTGAAGGTGGCACTAGGCTGTTACTATGAAACTAAGAGCAGCACATGACATGTTAGCCACAGACTGCTGAGTTGCAGTAACACCAGAAAGCCCTGAAATCACACCATGACACAGACTGAAAGTGGATATGGGATCAGTACACACTCTGGGAGTACTTTAATCTCTTCATCTGCTGTCTGCAGATAAGGAGGAGCAGGCATGATGAATCAGCTAAGGAACTGAGAGTAGACCAGCGCCCAGTGCTGGATGATATCATCTGTACTGGTTTACTGGTAAAGATGTCTCAAACAATATTGACCTTTGAGTTTTAGTGCCATTGGTAACAGCGTTTCCCAGACATGAGCTATAACTGGGCAGCCCCCCACCCCTAGAATATTTTATTCTATTTTGACTTCAATCAGTTCCCATTTTGTCACAATTTAACAATTTCCAAAATAATTCATAAGGTTATAAATAAACATAACATGCAGTCTCATTGATAAGATTTTATCCATGTGTGTACATCTTAAAAGAAGTCTTTATTTATCCAATTGCCAATAATGATAAATTTCCACTAGCACCTCTCTGGGATGTTAACCCAATGCTTACTTGATGCCTTCAACCTTAAAAAACTACTTCATGTGGTAACAAGTGAATGAACTAGTTTTATTCAACCTAAATAAACACTTTAAATAAACGATTTTTTTAATTGAATAAAACTAGTTCAGTTGTTTGTTACCACATGAAGTATTTTTTTATGCTAAACTGACAAGCCATTTTTCAAGTGTTATTTGAATGCCTGATCAATTAATGGATATCTGCATGTTCAATTAACCTTCCCGAAGGTTGTTTCAGGCCTGAGAAACAGTGCAACTGATGTGTTCCCTGAAGAGCATAAATTGCCATGGTGATTCATCCTGGTAAAAAGGGATCCACCATCATGAGACAGAAAATTCAAGGTTAGGTCGAACTTAGCTTAAAATTAGTAGGCTAAGCAAGAAATGCTGCTTTCTGGGAAAGGCTCCTGATAGAGATAATGGCACTGCAGGTTTTTTTATTGTGTGCTTCAGCTCGATTTGAAAAAAAAAAAAGTTCCACTAAATAAAAAGCTGAACTCTTTTCTGAATGTGTTTTCTGTCTGATTAACATTTACAACACAGTGCAAGGTTAAATTTGGTTGTAATTTTAAGAGAAGCTAGATCACGTTTGACGTTTAGCATAGAGTCAGCATAGCATGGTTTCATCAACTTTATTAAATGCACAAAACAATTATTAAATACCATGACATGTTTAAAATTGTTTAATGCTAACCAGCTCCTCTCTTCTAGTTAGCAGCACTGTTAAATATTCAACAAATGTTTTTCTTTTTTTTTATATACTTTTTTTAAATGGTAATTAATCATCAGGCAAAAATTTTAGGATCGTGACAGGTCTCCGGTTGGTGATGTTGGGGCTTGGACAGAATTCTGCTGGGTAACAGTTGGGTTCACATTCAAAACCAAGAGTGGTGAGTCAAGTCAGACTCAAGAAGTTCAGTTCAAAATCAGGTCTGATAAAAGCTCTATAAGCAAAGACACAGAATTCCAACCTCAGCTTGTTCCTCCTTAATGTATCCCATCCCCCACCGCCTCCAACCAGGGGACGGTGGTCTTCAAAAGCCTTTTCCCGAAACCTCTTGAGCTGCCCTTTCGTGCTCTCCAGCTGTCAGCAAGGGTCTGGGTGAAAGGTGACTGGCCCAAGCTGAGGTCAATAACCTAGATGCTGGGTTTCACATAATAGTGGCTGAGGGCTTCTCAACCCACCCTGATTTAAACTGCTTTGGTGTCATTCTTCTGAATGTCACCCACATTGGAAAAGAACACAGAAGCAGACAACGGGCTGAAATGAATTTACTTGTACCCAAAGTTTTAGCATGAGAAGAAGTGTGGTCCTAAATCAAGTTTATCTGACTTAACAGACCCACGCAAAGTCCTGCCCAAAGAAACATTATTATTTCTTCATTATTATTCATTCTTATTATTTCTGTAATAAGGCTACTTCTGTTGCCCATTTGGAAAACGTTAAGCTAATATGAAAGACAGCTTTGTTGGTGTGTTAGCTGGGAAATTGTACGGTTCAGTCAAAAATGTTTTACTTTAGTGAGGAAAAAAGAAAAACAGTCCTTTCTCTAGTGCGGAGACCATAGTTACACCAAACATTCAAACATCCAACTCCTGTACCAGATCAATGGATAAAAAAGCGGCATTGATGGATGGATGGAGTTTGGTTAGCAATCATTTGTCTGATGCAGGAAACGGCTTTTTCAGTTGCAAATGGAGAGTCTTGGAGAAAAAAAAGACAGCAAAAGAGCAAACAGTCCTCTTTCAGCAACAGGATGGTGCTCTGATTGTGGCCTCTCGCAGAGTAGAGGTGATAGGGTGTGTGAAATCCACAGCAGGCTGAGAACACTGTGCCACTTCCCACACCGTCAGGCACTGCTTTAGCGCCAAAACCACTGCTGCAGGGCTGATACTACAACTGACTCCTACCAGTGACTGTCAGTGCTACTACTGAAGACATAAAGTATCTCTATCTATATAAAGAGAGCTCTATCACTGAAAACCAAAGTTTCCTCACTTTTTAAGTAAGTTTGATGTGGCTAAAGTTCCATTTACTGCCCAGTTCATGAATTAAAATTAAGCTGCAAAACAGTTCATTTTGAATTCACTGTTTTTCTTATCACAAAAAACAGTGACTCTACATGTTTATTTATTCAGTGTACAGCAGTTTAGCCCCACCCATTCACATAGATGTTAAAAGGAGTGTTTCAGCCTAGACCGCTGTTTGAATGAGGTACAACACATCGCAAACAATCAGAACAAAGGTCACATATCAGTACCAAAAACAGCCTGTCTAATTCTAATGCTGTGGTTACATGTTGGTGTGTTCAAAAAATGTTCCATGCCTCATAGAAGAATTTCAGTGATAGCAATGACAGACAAGGGCATGCAGCCATGTAAATATTAATGTTACCATGGATTTAGCATTACCGGAATAGCAGTGGAGTTCCTGCCTCTGTGAGGGGTTATTGTGGCAGCCACTATTTTCTCCTAAAAATGGTTTTAGACACATGCTAACGTTTTTCAGTGAAGTTTGAGTTTTGCTGTATATGAACAAGTAGTGATACCCAATGATTTTGGAATATTAGTAGATATTTTCTTTAAAAATGTATTGCTGTTGAACAGATGCTTAAAACTGATGTGTAACGTCCAAACCAGAGTTTGGGCGTTTGTGATACTGTATCTGTTTCATTTGGTTAGGTTGGTTTCACACTGCCATGGCTAAAGCGTATCAACTTACATGTGGGTGTTTGTATATTGGTTAGAAATTTAGAAAGCACATAAGTGCTCTGCCACTCTCACATTTGCCACTGTGAAAATGGACAAATAGAAAGTAGGGATGCTTAACATTTTCATGTATCACACTCAAAGCAATAAAAGTAAACATTATGCGATATCTGCTTCTTTATGATAGGTCAATTTGAATTTAACCAATCAGATCAATGACACTAATACGGTCCACAATCCATGAGCCAAAATTTAAATGCATTTTTGCTATTTTTTATCATTCATTTGCTGTTATAAACAGCAGCCTGTGCTGCAAGAGTGGCATCAGTGTCTGTCAAAGCTCAGGTGGATTATGTGGACAGTAAAGTGCTGATGTGCTGATAAACAAAGAGGAAAGCATGCTTTAATGATGGTTTCATTCTTTTGGTGGGAACCACTAGGATTCACTTGACCCAAGCTTTTTGGCTGACCACAGTTCAGTTCTTTGGTGCATTCACACCTGTAAAAAATGGACCGAACTAAAGAAAAGTGTGGAAGGTTCACACCAAACAAAGCAGGTGTGAAAGCACCCTAAATTTGACATATCATAAACTGATATTTGATGACATATTTATTGTATTCCAGAAAAACAAATCGACTAGGCAATGCTGAGTTATAAAGCTATAATGCCTCAATTTTATTCAATTAGCTGCATTTGTAATACAGAAACAGAAATAAGTGTTATGTTACTCTGGGATGCTAACTCAGGTAGATTTAGTTCCAATGTTCACATTTTATCAATGTTTACGTGTCATTGGAAGACACGTATCTGAAAAATATCAAATATTGGTGTTGAACCCCAACTCCCATATTGGTGCATCTCTATAAACGAGTATGGCAAGATATCAACTATGAGCACTCAGCACCCGAATTTCAGAAAAAAAAAATCAACATCTGGTTTAGTTCATTGCTGCTGCTGACAGCAAAAGGTGGGAACACTGGACTGTTGACATTCTGCTGACTGGTGCAGTATGCTGCCATTGCCACTGGCACAATTCTCTCACTGCTACATTAACAACATGGATTATCTTGCCTTTCATCATTCATCTACTACCATAATGAGAAGGCAGCATAAGGGATAAACAGAAATTGGAAAATGGTCATGTAAAAATGAACTGGGACTATTTTTGATACATAAACCCACAGAAATGTCATGATTGGACCGTGAAAAAATAAGTAAAATGGAAGAGATGTGTCCATTAGGAGTAGACTAGAATCTGCTGTTAAAAAAAAGGCAGAAGCCTGCACTCAACTTTATTAAATGCACAAAACAATTATTAAA